GCAACGCAAGCGGTCAGAACCAACAGTACAATAAATCAGGGAATAAACATTTGCGCAGCGAATCAGGTTTCGATTGGCGCGGCCGAGGGTGGCGCTCGGGGTGGCGTCCCCGCACCCAAGGCAGGGCCGCCGACGCAGGGCCGTCGAGGCTAGTCGAGGCCATCCACGCGCGGCGAGTCCCCGTCCCCGTCCCTCAGCTGGTGTTCCTTCCGGAACTCCGGAAGGAGCTTCCGTCGCGCCGTCTCTCTCGCACTCGAGGGGCGTCCCGCAGGGGTGCGAGAGAGACGGAAGGCCCACTGTTCGGAATCGACTCCTGCCTTGTGAGGCTTCCCCTCCAGGCCGTCTGATTTGTCATGTGTACTACAGCCGTGTGTACGGTGTAGGGGCCGACGGGGACAAACCTGCCTTCATGCACAGGTGGAGGCGGCCCGGGGAAAGGGGAGGGAGTGACCTTTCTAGTTCCAGGACTAATGCCGCCTCGTCGCGTGGGCGCCCCCTCCCGCCCCCTCCCCTCCCCTGCTCCAGGACGGCCAGGACGGCGCGCGTGCAGCCCTCACCCTCCTCCCCCTCCTCCAGCCAGAACGTCTCGTGTGACAGCTCCACTGACCCACGTGTTGCCAGAGAGGGGCCGTCGGAGGGGGAGGGGGAGACTGATCACCCCCTGTTCCCTTGCAAATGCGGCCGATTCGAAGCCGAGACGCAGAGACGCACGTTCGGCCGGGATGCCGCCCTAACTGCCTCAGCCTCAGTGGGCCTCGGCTGGGTGTTCGTGTCCCACAGGCGGCCCGGCCGAGGGGCCGATGACAGTGGGGGGCCGTGAAAGCATGTCGCTGACACCCATGATGAATGATGCCCTCTCCCTTCCCGGCTGATAAAAGCAGCTCCGAGGGAGGATGTTCCGGGATGTGACCCTCGCGCACCCCGGCCGCCCGGACCCGGCCGCCCGGCCGCCCCAGAGCCCATCAGCGCGCTGACAAACTGCGGGGCCTTTCTATTCCAATAAGGGGGCAATGGAGACGACACCACCACCACCACCATCACCACGACGATCACCATCACCACGACGATCACCACCACCACCAACACAACTTCCACCACTACTACCACCACCACCCCCACCAGCCCCCAGCGCGCACTGCAGCCACGGACTCTGCATAAAGTACCGGCAAAGCTCCGCAAAGTACCCCAAAGTAGCCGCTGCCCGGGACTGCGCCGCGGCGCCGGGCCCCCTGGCCTCATCAGTCGCCCTAAGCCCCCTGCGCCCCTCCAGCCTGACTCGGAGTGTAATTTCGTAATTTCTCGTCGACCTTACAGCAGCGAGGCCCTCCACGCAGCCCGCCACGCTGCAGACCGATTCCGAGAGTCCTTTTCGTCGCTCTGTCTCTCTCGCACTCGTGAGGCGTCCCGTATAGGTGCGAGAGAGACAGCGACGAAAATGCCTCCGGGAATCAGTCCGCTGCCCGCCAACCTCGGAGCGTCGCTGGCCGTGCCAACGCGCCACAACGCGCCGCAACGCCCGGCCAGACCCCCTGCCTGCCGCCTGCCCTGCCGGGACGGCCGCGACGCCCGGGACGCTCCGGCGAGGTCGCACCGCAGCAAGGTCGTCCTTCGGGGCGTGCTGGAGGCGGGGCGGGGCGGGCCGGGGGCGCGAGGTGGGCCGGGGGCGTGGTGGCCCGGGGGCGGCTGGGGGAGGCGAGGCTGTGTTCCGGTCCCGAAACCTCAACCTACCTCACCCCCACCCCAACCGCAGCACCGCCAGCTCCGCCCTGCTGTCTGTACAAAAGTGGAATATTTGGCCTCGCCAGCCATCCTTCCGCCCCGCCCCGCCCCGCGCAGTCCGATCGCGGGCTGCCTGCATATCTTTGGCCGCGCAGCGCGCACGCCTGCTGGGCCGCGGTGATAATGCAGGGGCGTACATCATCGGACCGCGCTTAGGCTGCCCTGACAGACAGACGGACACACACACACACACACACACACACACACACACACACACAGAGAGAGAGAGTGACACACACCGAACGGGGCTCAGCGAGGCGGCCTGGCGGCCCGAGTGAGGCGCGAGTCGCGCAAGCGCGCAAAGGTTGGCAAAGCCGTCCGAAAGCCACGCCGAGCCGCTGCGCCTCGCCGGCACGAGAATGCAAAGTCCGACACTAAAAAGAAAGACGGCCATTCCCCGAGCGAGGCGGGCCGCGGCGGCCGTGGCCCTGCAGGCCTACAGCGCCGTCCTCGTCGTCCTCGACGTCGTCGTCAACGGCCTCGCGCCGGAGTCATTCAAACTCGAAGTCCTGCTCCTTGACCTCTCCGGACGACTTAACAACGCGGCGACGCAAAAGCAAACGCGGCCCGAAAAACGCGAAACACGAAGAGCAAAACGCTCGGCGGTTTACAAGGCCGCCGCCACCGGGTCGCGGAATGGAATACGTTATGCGGGGATCTCGCCAAGCCGAAAGCAGCCGAGGCGGCCGAGGCGGCCAAGGAGCCCAGGGCCTCGCGGATTGCGATACACGCCGCGGTGGGCCGGGCGGGCGGCGTAGAGCAGCAAGGCGGTGGCAAGGAGGGGGAGGGGGAAAGGCAGGCCGAGAAAACGCGGGAAAGGATAAAGGCGCGCCTGCTTTATGAATTATTTTTGAGTCGCTGCCGCCTGACGCCTGCCGCTGCCGCCCGCTGTTCGGGGAGGGGGAGCACAGTGGGCCAGAAGACCGGTGGAGGCGGCCAAAATTCTAGACGCGTTTTGTGCTCAAGCCTCTAAACGGGACTCGAACCGAACGTGTGACCCCACCAATGGATTGCTCTCCGGACGAGGAATCCATTGGTGGGGTCACAATCCTGTTCAGTGACTCTAGAACTCAAATCGCGTCTAGAATTTTGGGCGCCGCCGCGACCCGACGCCCTGTCTTTATGTTTTTCGGCGTGTTTCTCCTCTTTGGGCCGCGCCCCGCTCCGCCCCACACTGTACTTCTTCCCGAGAGTCCTTCCCCAGGGAGGCCTCCTGCCCGGCGGTTGTCCGCTGCGGCGCGGTGCGGCGCGCGGCGTCAGGTGGAAAGGGGGCGAAGCTTCCCACCCAACGCATTAAGCCATTTTCATTTTGTTTCTTTTTTTTGCTACGAAAGAGAGAGGAAATTTAGTTTGACACTGAGCTAGAGAGAGAAGCGATTCCATTTTTTTTAACCCTTTTTATTCCATCTTTCTTTTCTTTTCGCGTCTGGATGTGCGGGAGGGATGTGCGGTCCCAGCTGAGCGCGGAGCACACAGCGCCGTGCACAGTATGCACACCGCAGACTGCGCCGCGTCACGCGAGGGGAGGGGGGTGAAGGCGAACGAGCTGCGAGCCTGCTGCGCCGCCGAAACACTTTCGCCGTGACGTCACGGGCCGCTAGGGCCGCTCGGGCTTGCCACCCTCCATTAGCAGCTTGCCGCGCGTCGCAATACTTCGCAGCTTTCCCCCTCCCCCTCCTTTCTAAGGCCCTTCCGTCCGGCTGGTCACCTGACTGACTGCCTGTCTTTCTTTCTTTCTTTCGGACGTTCGGCTGGTCGTCCGTCCGTCTGTTCCGCCCCGTCTCGGTGCCGGACAGACAGTCAGACAGACAGACAGACAGACAGACAGTCAGACAGACAGACAGACCGCGCTGCCGGCGGGGCCCCTGCCGCTCCAGCGGTATGCAGTCCCGTCGCTCCGCGGCGTGTGCGGGTTGCCTACCCCGCAGTTGGCGGGCGCTCGCGGCTCGCCTTGGCGCGACGCTGCGGCCGGTGGCGGGGCGGGGTGAGGTGGGGCGGGGTGGGGCGGGGTGGGGCGGGGTGGGGCGGGGTGGGGGGGGGGTGGGGGGGTGGGGCGGGGTGGGGGGGGGTGGGGGGCGGGGTGAGGCGGGGGTGGGGTGAGGCGGTCCAGCCCGTCTATGGTCCGAGAAAACCTCTCTGTGCACACGGCCAGCATGGCCAGCACGGCCAGCATGGAATTCCCACCCTCTGCGCCGAGCTGCGCTGGCCGAGTCTGCCTAGTCCCGAGCCGTATCCACAGGAACGTCGTCACGTCCTGGCGGCCCTGGCGGCCCTGGCGGCCCTGGCCCGCAGCTTCCTCGCAGGTAGGCGAGGCGGAGGCGGGCGAGGCCGCGCGGCCCGGTCCACGTTTAAAAGATTCAGCGCTTCGGTGTGGCAGTCGGCAGACGGTATCCGAGCTAGGCCCCGATCAATATGACGCGACCCCAACACTAACTCGCGCCGGTCGCTATGGAACAACTGAAATGGATATTTTTTCTTCGCTTCGCTTTTTCTTGTTTGAGATATTAACCGCCCCCCACTTGATTCCGTCGCTTTTCTTGTTTCGCGTTTCGCCGCGGCCCCCTCCCCCCCTCTCCCTTTTGCGTGGCCAAACAAATTGCGGCCATTTCGGCGGTGCCACACGCGGCGATTGAGAGGGAGGGAGAGAGAGAGACAGAGAGAGGGAGAGGGAGAGAGGTCATTGTTGTCCCATCTGCGGTGATGCGCGGCCATCTCTCACGTGAAAAATGGCCGCAACTACGGCGACGACGCGATCAATGGGACACACACACACACACTAACATAAATAGACACACTCACACACATGGACGCGAGGGTGAGCACATCGACGGGGGCATGGAGCTGACAGAACACCGCTGTGCCTGGGCTGGCGCTCGGCTGGCGCGCTGTGTCGGTGCTGCCCGGTGCTGGCGGCGCTGTCGGTGTCTGCACCACCCGTCGCCGCGCCGCCACCACCGCGCCAAATAAATGAATGCCCCCCACCGCTCTCGAGTTTGAGTCGAGGGATAAAAAAGTTGATGGTTTTCCTGCGCGATTTTTTTTTGTTTATTCCTCTATACGTTTTTTTACTCGCCGTCATGCGAAAATGACGAAGCAACAAAAGCGTCCCTTTCGGCGGAGCGCGGCGGAGCCAATCTAGATGGGCCGCGGCACGTGTTACGGGCAAAGTTAACAAAAAGCGTGTTCCGAACTGGGATTTGAACCAGCGACCTCGCACTCACCAGAGATCCACGTGCCGTTGAACCGCAGCGGGGTGAAGTCCTGGCCGAGCACCTGCGACAGCTTGAACCTGGCGCCGCGCACCCGGGGCCCCTCGTCGGGCGGCGTGAGTAGCACCACGGACGTCACGATGAGGGCCAGCACGGCCATGATGACCAGCAGCGCGATGAGGATGCCGCGCCAGTTGCGCTGCGTCGGGGAGGACGACACCAGCTCCTGGGGGACCACAAGCAGGCCGTCAGACTCTTGGTCAGACCGGGGGACCCGCGGTGGGACCGCCTCTGGACCGTCACCGTCCGCAGACTCATTCCAAAAGTCGTTTCCGTCGCTCTGTCTCTCTCGCACTCATGGGTCGTCCTGTGTGGGTGCGAGTGAGACAGAGCGACGACTCTGGGAATCAGTCTGCAGGCCGCCAGCACCGGCGGCGCCGTTTACTCGCTGTCGCGGGGCTTCCAAACGCTTCTCCCCGCCATAGCTTCTGCTTGAGCTTCTGTTTTCGTTTCACAGCGTCGTCGGCGCTACCTTGCGTCGACATGTCTCGCCGGGATCCTATTTGGCCTAACAAGCCTCGCCTCGCCGGGCCCCTGACGAGGCTTACCATCCTCGGCCGGGTAAGCAGCCCACCCCACCCCGCCCCGCCCCGCCCGGAAATTGGGTCTTGGCGGAGACTCATCTGCACCGCCACGCCATCGGGCATCCGCGCGGCTCCCCCCCCCCCCCTTTCTTACTTTTTCCCCTTTTCTCCAATCCAGGCCCGTGCCGCCACCTTGGGTCTCAGTAATAAAACGGCTGTCTCGCACCCCCAACCCCCCGCCCCCCACCCCGCACCGCCACCGAGAACCCCTGCAAGGATTATCGGCAGGCGCAAAAAAATGGGCAGAAAAGGGGCGATAAAAACAAGGAGCTGACTTTGAGGAACCTCGCCATCGCACCTGATTGTTTGTTTTCCTTGACGTCACCGGGGATCGATTCGCGAAACTTGATGATCCAGACCCTGCTTTTGTGCGACCAGTGGCGCTGCTTCAATGGCCGTGACGGAGACAGGGGGAGGGGGAGGAGGGGGCGGGGAGGGGAGGCCGGTTCATCATGTCGGAGCCGAGACGCGTAGCCCCTGCCTTCTCCCACTCCCACTGTCCTGCCCCAGCGCCGCGCCGCGCCCGATACGTCTAAGTATCGACACCCTAGTAGCGTGAAGAATGATGCGAGGGTCGCGCGGGGCGTTCTCGCGTCGACCCTGCATCTTGGGCTCGGGCGGCTTGGGCCCGCGGGGGCGCACCCGCGTGCAGCATGCACCTGTCTCGCTCGCGCAGCGTGGCCACCCCTCATGCACTCACCTCATCGTCGAAGTTGGCGTCGGGGTCGGACATGGCTGGGGCGAGGGCCTCGTGGACCACGCCCGACCTGCCCTAGCTGGCCTCGTCCTCGGAGACTTGGTCCTCGGAGAGCGTCCTCGGCGCTGTCGCGCGGCCCTAGCCCCAGGGCGCCCCAGGGCCTAGGTGCAGTCGGCCCGCTGCCAGCCAGCGCCGCGCGTGCCACACGCGTGCCGGCCCGTGGCTTCCATCACCTGCAAAACACAACGACAAACACGTACAGTGCACGAACACGGCCAGGTGCGAAGCCGAAAACGGCGAGCCGGCCTGGCCCGGCCTGGCCCTGGCCCGGCCCCACCATTCGACAAATTGATTTCAACGGCAGGGACAGCCCGGCGAGGCGGTGCAAGCGGGGCAGGGGGGAGGGGAGTGGCCGAAAGTGGAACCAGAGTGGAACGTAAAGCAAAACGGCCGCCTCACTTATGGATTAATAATTATCCCGGCCCATCCACTCCGAACGCGGCCTTCCCAACAGCGCTTTCGCCGCTCTGTCCCTGTCTCTCATGGAGCGTTCCGCGCAGGGGTGCGAGAGAGACAGCGCAGCGAAGCCCGGTTCCGAATCATACTGCTGGCACTACCACCGACAAGCCGTCACGCCGTTTTCGGCACGAAATCGATGCTAGAGAAACACAAGCGGCCCGTGCCGCGCGGCGCCGCGTGACGTGCCATGCCAGGCCGCTGGTCTGAGGCTCTGGGGCCACTCCACTGGAGAGGTCTAGACCATGGCGCCATCCTCCGGCTCCTCCGGCCCACCGGGCCCCGCAGCATTCCGCTGACTGGCATGCAACACAAAGCAGTCCAGTGCATAACACACACTCAGCGAAAGGCAGCCCTTGCAGCCCTTGCTCTTGCTGCCCTTTGTGGACGCTGGCCAGGCCGAGGGCCGCCGAGGGCCGCCCTAGCGAGGGCCAGCCCTTGGGCAAGCCGGCCACCGGGCCCTCTCCAACCTCTCCAGAGGGCTGCTCCCGAACAGTGCCTTCGTCGCTCCGTCTCTCTCGCTCTCGAGGGGCGGCCCGTGGCTCGGCCCGTGGCTCGCTGTGGGACAGAGACCGAGCGACGAAGGCACTGTCCGAAAGCAGCCCGTGGCGCGCTCCCGCCGCGTGCTCCAGTGGTCTGCACTCGGCTGCACTGCACTGCACGGCCGTCGCAAGGCCCGCCGAGTGGCGGCGAGAGTCCTGCACCGTTTATTTCGCTCAATGCAACAACTCGCCACTTTTTTGTTGCTTCCTTGCAAAGAATGTAACATGTCTGCAGCTGGAGTGGAGCCTGCCGCAGCATGCCGTCAAGTCAAGCCGTCGTCATCGCGCGCCTCCAAGCGCCTGCGAACATCGGGGCAGGCCGCACGCCGGACAGCCGTGCGGAGGGTGCCGTCGAAAGCCTACAGGCCAGGCGGCTGTTGCGACGCGTCGCCAAGAGGACGGCGACGACGCGAGCCGCGACGCTGCGGGGGAATGGTACTCACTTTCAGAGTGGCGCGCAGTCGACGGTCGTCTCGACTCGACTCGCACCCCGTCTCGTCTCCTCGTCGGCGTGCCGTCGGCGAGCCGTCGGCGTGCCGGTGCCGCGCCTCCTCGCTGCTTCGAGACCACGGCCCGGTCGCCGAGTCGCGGGTCCAGACGCAGCCCTGGGACGGCGCGGCGAGGCGAGGGGTGGCTCGACTCGACTCGACTCGGCGAGGGGGTCGGCGCGTGGCGGGCTGCCGGGCCGCGGAGGGACGCGCGTTTCGCGTTTCTGGGGGAGTGCCGCTCGCACACTGAAAGCCCGAGCCAGGGCAGAGCCAGGGCCCACGCCGCCTCTCTGGCCGCCTGGCCCCCAGCAGCAGCAGCAGCAGCAGCAGCAGCAGCAGCAGCAGCAGCAGCAGCAGCAGCAGCAGCAGCAGCAGCAGCAGCGGGGGGCGCAGGGCTCAGGGCTGCCACAGGGCCACGGGCAGCCACGGGACGGCGGCCGCGCCCCCTGCCGCCTGGAGCGACAAGCTCAGGCCCTACAGACCTCCAGACCTGGCGTGGGGCCGTGGGGCCGTGGAGCCGTGGGGCCGTGGGGGCGCTGGCGAAGCATGAGGCTCGGGCACGCGGCTTCTCTCTTCTCTCCCCAACCTTCTCGCAGGGATGACATCGTCTACCCGCATACCCGGTTTCTATCCGCGGACTCAACAGCGACAATTCCCCCCTCTTACAATCCCACGGGCGCGGCGCGGCGTTGCAGGCCAGGGCAAAAAGGACTCAGTTTATTTGCAATTTTTTATACAATCCCAGAGATAAGACAGTATCATCTGCTTCCATAAACATTCCTTGAATGGTGATTTTTTATGTTTGTGTTGTCAGAGGTGAAGTTTTTTCCTCCTTTTGTTTTCCAATGTTTAAAAAAAAAAATAATCTTTGCAGCTTCAATAATGCTTGATTATGCTTCAATGCTGGAATCTCGAAATCAATGTTTGTCTTGCTCAATTTAATTCACTGTGGCTATCATGTAAAGACTGTTCTTTAAAATGGTGAGTGCATGTTTGTACACATGCTCTCCACATAAAGACAGTAAAGGGGAAGGAAACAAATAAAATGAAGAAGTAATTAATTATGCACACAATGCTCTTTATTCACTCTGTTTGCAACGCATGAACCATGGCACACCAAGCAACGGTTAAGAAAACTCTCACAATGCAATAACGTAAAATAATATTTTTTTTTGAAAAAGCCTTATGCAATAAATGCATCCGGCAGGATATCTTTGACACAATGCTTTCACATGTATCTTATGAGACAACTTTAGTAATGTAAAATGACAACACATACTGCAACAGTATAGAAATAATAATTACGTCAGATAGTGACATTTTGTTCAGAGAAGTCCTTCATCACATCAAAGTACAATAGGGACCAAATGTTAAATAATTTCAAGGAACTCTATGCTCTTTCTCACGAATTTAACACTTGGGGCTCTCAAGAGTCCTCAACTTTTTGTCCTTCCTGGTAACATGTCTTCACACGACCAGAGATTCACAACAATTAAGTCATGACAACTAAAGAAAACAAGAGCAAAATAGTAACAAAAGAAGCAATACACCACAGACCTTAGAAACACAAAGGGCATGCAGGTCCATGGGTTGAAATCTTTAATGTCATGCAATGAATTCATTGCAGAAACCCCTACCCCAATGACATTTTTTTCCTACTGTAACAGAAAACCCTTTTTTTTTTTAAATCCTCCAAATTAGCAGCTTAGTGTAATATCTTTTCCTAACAAAAGTCTGTAAAATTCAATGGTGACAGTAAAAAATTTAAAAAGGAAAGAAATTATACAATCACCATTCAAATGAAGGAAGTTCATTAAACACCTGGAAGTAGTACCAGAGTCTCAATTAAGTCTTCTGTTTTGTCACAGGGCTCCTACAGAGGTTTTATAGCATTTATTAACTTGTCGAACCTTGGTGAATCGAGGACGTCTCTTAGAAAGATGAATGACTGATGTGAACGTGATGACAAATAACAATGATAAAAAATAAAAGATATAATACTAATAATAACAAAGATGAGAATGATAATGAAGATGATAAAAATAACAATACAAACTTAAACGCAGACCTATAATGTTTGTGCTATAAATATTGACCTTTGGCATGAATCTGACAAAAGAGAAACTATTCCACAGGGCTGATAAAAATTCATTTCAACTTTATGATAGACAATAAATAAATTTAGTGTGATAAAAACCACATAAAGAATCTTATGAGACAATATACATTCTATCACATGAAACTTCACTTTTAGAAACGACTGAAATTCATTACAATGAAGGAAAAATGAAGTTTTCCAGGCACATGCTAATGTGAAGAACAAATGATTTCAGAAATTTTGCCCCAATTTCACTAATACAAACATCCATGAAATATAGGAAAGCTTGGCGAGTCGCAAGTATAGCCCCCAAAAAAGCTCATGAATACCAGGGCTGACCTCACATACGGGACCTAGACTGAAGACAATTCACATCAAGATAGTATAAGTAATACTAAGTACTGTACAGATTCACAACATGCAAGAGAATGGGATGAATCATTTTAGAAACATGAACTCTAACAGAAGGTACATGGTTTGCATTATGAGTATGTTATGTTGTACAAATGCCACAAGTTTCACGTTCAAGCACAAGCCTTTCTGTTGAACTGGAATGTGTTGTGGCTTCACCTTAATAATATTAAAATTGCCAATTCAATGCAGAGAATCATCATTTATCATCATTGCCTATTATTTCAATACCGCCACAAAAACAGAAGGTATCTGTTCTATAAAAAGTATACATTTTTTAAAAGGATGTATTCCATGATGTATGTACTCTTAATACATAAACCCTCAGGATAGGGATAAACAAAACAGGGTAACGCCTACTTTTTAAGTTCATAATCACAATCAACATTACAAGCACAGTGATTTTAGGTAACTTTTAGAAAGAAAAGCAGACCAAATACTCACAACATGAATTGGAAGTCTGTAAGAGCAAATTGAAGAGGAGCAATTAGGATAAACATCAAGGTACGATCACTTCAACTACAAGATGCAATGACAAATGCATCAGTACTCAGAAGGGCTACAATTACAAATTTACAATTTGGATTTATAATTATTGCTAGTAGTTGCACCGAAGAGCATTACTCTCATTTAGACCTGAGTACTCATATTCTAGCACATATCAGAAGATACAATCCTTCAAAAAAAAGTATAAACATTTTAAAACAAATTTTTTTCAAAAAGAAAAAAGAAAAATTAAAAACAGCATTTTCAACAGTACCATGTTGAAAATATGCCAATGAAAATGTCTCCTCATGTTCCTTCCCTCCCACATTGCAATAAATATTCATTGTTACACAGGAAGATAAAATTAATGCATCAGAATGAATGATGGCTTAAATCTCACACACACACAGACGACTTAAGGACGGAGAGAGTTCAGGCAACAAGAAAATCGTTTCTATAACTCAAATTGAAAATTTCCTCAGATTGTTTTTAGATGAATGGTTAATGACAAACAAAAATTTTCAAGAATAAGTCAGTTAAAATAAGATTTTTAAAAAAGTGACTTCAATGACTTCAGAACTAGAAGAAAAGAAAATTTTACAATGACTGAACTATTGTGGTGAAAGCCTGGACAATGAGGTGTGCATTGTGGTCCACTCAGAACAGAAATCAAACAAGAAAAATTATGATTCTTAAAAAATCAAAGTCAAACTGAGAATGCAGATATTTAAAACTGAAAGCTCAAAAGGTAAGGATAAGAACCCCCAGTTTGGCACTGATTGAGCTACTGTGCAATGCAGAAAACCAAAAAGTTAGTACTGCCTTGTTATATTGAGCTTTTATATACTAAATGGAAGTTGAATTAGCACTGATTAACACACAGGAACAAACTGAATAATGACAGCATCCAAAAGTGGAATTTGGATTGCTGCAATTACCAATACAATAAAGCAGGGTGACTAATAATACAGATGTTACCTTAGGACAAGTTATTTAATGAAGTTTGGTCCAGCCTTGCTTCTCTGTCGTGTTTACTGGTTGCGTGTTACATCCTTACATAGACCTGGCATTGAAACTTGCTCACTATAAATCTCACATCAGTTGATGAGGGATGGCACAATAAGAGCTGGCAAGTTTCAAATGAAAACAATTTTGATAAATTTGTGATACAGTGCTGATTAATTTTTAAAAGGAGTAATTTAAAATCAAAGGGAAAAGATGAAACTGACGCACACCTTCAACAGATAACAATGCTTTGTCTGAATGACAACCATGAAACTGACCCTCAAAAGGTCAAAAGTCTTTCAATTAAAAAAAAAAAAGATCTGCTCCATGTAAAAAACAGATGTTAGAATAACAAATCTTCAATTATTGCAAATCTTTGTTCAAACATCACTCCTTGAAGCATTAGTTGTGACTAAATCCCTGACAACATTAAAGGCAAACACAGTTCTTGACACATCACAATCTAACAATATTCAAATGTCAAAAAACAATAAACGAAGATCAAGAAAGAACAGATGATTCCAAATTTTGTGCTTGGCTGAGTTCTGCTGAATTCGAGGTGCGAATACAAATGCAGGTTTAATTGGCAAAAGAACCTTGACTTTTTGTTCTACCAGGGCAGACCTACAAAAAACTTATAGTTTAAAAAAATGTTGTTCATCAGCAAAGTCACTTTAAAATAATTACAGGGGGGAAAATGCGCAAGCATGTTTCTGGCACAGATTAAAGGTTAGAGAACAGCTTGTGTTCATGCCAATCATGCTTTGACCACGCAAATGCTTGCTATGTTGAACCCTGGCTAGGTATATCAAGGAACACTACTTCATTAAATATTTGTGATGTTTCAATTTTTGTGCAAGATAAAATAAATAGACATGAAAATTAAACATACAAATACAGATAACAAGAGAACAGTCCAGCCAATGTGCACACATTCACATTACAAGAGGTAAGACTTATATACACTTTGGTTCTTCCTATCGCTGCCTGCCAAAACATCAGGCCAGCCCATCTCTTTCTCTGCCTGTTTAAAATCATTTCACTCTCCATCGATGGTTAATTCATCACATACATCACACATTCTCAAACTCAATACAATTTGTTCTTATATGTCACATTCACACTTCAGTGTGGCACACAAGCAGACACACAAAATACCATTTTACTTACACACATATTTACATATACATATACATGTACACCCATACCAAAGCTTCAGGTATAGTAGTACACGTACATGTATACATATGAATAGATACAACATTTATTGATTGATTCATTCATACCCCTTCCCCAGAAAACATAAAACAGTACTATAAACACTGTGACTAGAGAAAATGAAAAAGAAAAAAAAAACAACTTTGATCAGGTATTAATTTTGAATTGATGACATCACATTTGATCACGGTAACCTAAATTTTGAGAGAAATTAGGACAACAAAGAAAAACCATCAAGACACATGCATACGTACGTACATTCAGTTCACTAGCATTCACAGGCAGCACTGAGGTTGCGGGCCATCACAATAGCTCGTACTGTCGTAGGTGCATACGTTGTATGATGTCGCGGCAGTCATTGAACACTCGGCGGATGTTCTCTGTATCCACAGCACAGGTGAAGTGTGGATAACAATAATGTTTACCATCCCCACTTGCTGTGCTAATGCGCTGAAAAATCAAATAGAATTGTTAATATACACAATTGCATGTAAAGATACCAAGTCTGTAATAAATGCAGTTCAAAAAGAAGTCTCACCAAAAATTCGTCCCTGATGAAGTACTTAGCCCTAACCACTTCTGGGTGGTCTGAGGGCTCTGACGTTGCATCCCCAGGAGTCTGATAGCGTGAAAAATCTGCAAAATATTCCTCCAAGCGAGATTTTCCTGCCTTGATTTTCTCTGCCAACAGATCTTGTTTATTTAGGAACAAAATCACAGAGATTGTTCGCAGCCACCTAAAATAAGTGTTTGAACAATTAAAGACATGCACATAATCTGGTTGTTTTTCAGTTATTTGTACTCGAATTGGTTTTCTCTTTCCAAATTATGTTATCACAATATAGCACTGTACCTGTTGTTCCAGATACTCTTAAAGAGGTCTAGAGACTCCCTCAATCGATTTTGTGTTGGGTCTTCTCTTAGAACCATGTTGTAGGAGCTGCATGCAGTAACAAAGATGATAGCGGTGACGTCATTAAAGCACTGGATCCATTTACGACGTTCATCACGCTGACCTCCAACATCAAACATACTGAAACACAAAATTACAACGTAAGGGAAAGGATCCAGAAAATATGAAAGAATTTGTTACACAGCAGTAGATAGACAGGAGAACTTACTGAAAATTTACTTTGTCCACCTGAAACCTGGTCTCAAAGATACCAGAAGTGAGGACACGACACCTTAAAATATCCTATGAAAAAAGCCACATCCGATATTGTAGTACAATATTGGGAAATAAATTTCAGAAATATAAAATAAATTGACTGAAGGATTACCTGCTCTGAGGGAGTATAGTTAGGTTGTTTGATTATATGCACTTGGTCTAGGAAGCTAGAAAAGGAAAGTTGATACGTTTTATTAATAGGTGCACAATAAATAATCAACCACAATTAGAAAGAGGTAGCGAAAACAACTTGGAGGCTTACTATTTTGCACAGTCAATGAGCTGATACTCATTAGATCTCTCAAAGCATGCTTGGACACCTCTGTCCTTCCATAAAATCTCAGTGTGTTCATAAAATTCCTAAAAAGAAAAGGAAAGGGAGTTGTGAGTACAAACTGGTAATTTTCTGAAAATTTGTGCTTGTAACCCACATAAAAAAGGGCATATGCAAAAATTTATTTTCTAAAGTAGGATTGTTGTTTCATAAGTACTCACTGGTGGGTAATCGAAGTCATGCTGTGATGCGACGTCTTGAATGTAGTCAACCCTGCTCTGATTCTCAGGTTTCTCCAAAGAAATGGGTGGAGTCAGTGTGCTCATAGCACCCGTAATCGTCTGGAAAAACAGAAATAGAATTATAATTGGTGTTACACGATAGTTCTTTTGACACCTCATGATTAAGCCATCATACTCACTAATATTGCATCTCGTATATTCTTTTTTATATCTTCTATTTTAAGCATTTTTTCTCTGTAAGATAACGCAGGAAATTGTGTTTGAAAAAATTAATATAAGGGGCACAATATGAGAATAGAAAGGTGCAGAAAGTCACACTCACTCTGGACTGAAGCCATTGACATGAAGTATCCGCATCTGCTTTACAATAGTACTTTTACCAGACTCTCCAGCACCTGCAATTACATCACAATTAAGTGAGAAATATCCATATTTAATTGTTGGAAAGAGGAAGAAAATTTGCATTTGAGAAAAAAAGTTTTAAACACACAGAAATTTCTTGCTTAACTTCACACATTAGTTTTGGGGAACATAAGATCATTGGCTAGTAGTTAGCTTCACAAAGTGTTGGAAAGTATTGCATTAATTGTATCAAAACCTTAGAAATTAAATATTCAGATCCAAAAAGTATGCGAACTGGGAAAAGCAATAGGTAGTAAAAAAATTATTTAATTGATAGGGGAGGTGATAAAGACAACAATCACTGACCGTCTGCTTTGAGTTTTGAGAACAACCAAATAATTAGCTTTTGCCTAAAAAACATCTCCAACCCTTAGAACATGAGACACCTCACATGGATTGGCTTGAAAAAATTGTGAAAATGTACGCAAAATTAAAACTGGCTCATAAAAAGTAATGCATAAAGCATGGGGATGATATAAAATATTACAGCGAGCAGAAAATAGGAAGAGAAGAGGCAGCCGACATGAAGGACCTGCCTGCGCTACCATAACCTCAGCAGTGAGCAGAAATACGAACCAACTTTTAGAGAGAGAGGGAAATGCTCAAAGGGTCCATTGTGAGGTCACCCGACGCAGCCATGCAAGCAAGATCGAGCAGAAAATCCAACACAAACAACGGGAAAGCGACTGAATGAGACAAAATAAAGCTGCCATCCATGTTTAGCAGCAGCCTCTCCCCGCCCATAACAACTAGACTCGTACAGGCAGAAAGATTTGATTTCCAGAGAACAAATGGGAGACAGAGCGGCCATAAAAAGTAGAAATTCTAATTCAGGAAATTTCAAGCATTTTAAAAATGTTGAGAGCCAAGCAACAACGAAAATGATAGATATTTGTATTTGAATATAAACCAAATATGGCTGATGTAGTGCCTTAGCCTTACCGAGCAACAAGAGCCTATGTGTGGCTCTGTACACCTGTTTGTCCCTCTGTATTTGTTGGTTTATCCTTTTGTTGGCTTCCTTCCGTCGTTTACTTTCTTCTTGGTCCGCCTTTGAGCTCGCACTTCCAAAACAACCCATGACATCGGGCCCGATCTCGAGAAATATGGTGGCCAAGCAGCACTGATAAGGATCGCGCTGCCCGTCGCCCGCGGCCGAAGTCCCTATTTTGTAGGCGATTTTATCACTAACAATGCACGACACTCCTATCTAGTTAACGCGGAGCGGATCCCGAGTTTCCTTGCCATCGCCAAATCATAGAAACTTGTTAGTTTATCGATATATCCCCCTCACCCTCAGCGAGAACGCCTTACGCTTACGCCAGGCTTACGCCTTGCATTTCACTGCCAAGGGTGTGCACAGGTGCACTATGGGTAGCCTACCGCCTTCTAGTCGCTCTAGATGGGCTCGTTTTTCGGCCGTTTTGCAGGGTTTTGCCAGTTTTTGCAGATGTCTCAGTGGCAAGGAGGGGTGGAAAAGGGTGAAACTTGTTTGGCTGAATTCGCTTTTTATCCCCGAAACGCATGTCAAGCGTCCGGCGTCACAGGGATTCACGAGATCGCGTCGCGAGGAATCGGACGGACGGGTCGGTCGGATGGGTGGGGCTGTTGAGGGGCGGGGGCGGGGAAGGCAGAACACGATGGGGCTCGCGACCGAGGACCGAGGCACCGGCCGCGAAATGCTAAGAAAATAGAGAAAAATCATCACATTCTTCACCATCATTATCTTTCATCTGATTCCCATAAACAGGATATCTCGGACCTCGACATTGTTTCCCATTAGCGAAAAGGGGGAGGGGGTCCCTCTGGCTTCCCCCATGTGATAACGTCAAATGTGCAATCGTATGGATGACAATAAATAAGCGAGGTGAGTAATGAGAGGGACAACCTTCGGAGCAGCTATCCGACTTACTTTAGCATTGTATGTAGTCACGTGCCTTACGCACCAGAAAAAATTACCCTCATTGACTGCGGTGAGTTACTCCAATTAATCTGAAGCAATTACCTCTGGAATGGGCATCCAGTAATCAGAAATAGGAATAGTGTAGCTCCATTGTCCTTTGAGTTCCATTCTAAAGAGGCGCGAGGTCCAGGATTAAATGTTGGCACGTTTTGGGCCCCAATTTAAATCTACCGCCAATCGAAGGTAGCGGTATATCGAACCAAAACTTCGAGGCACGGTGACTTGCGTTCCGAATAATCGAAACAATCGATATTGCGCAGGATTTTGTTAGTTTGTTGGTCTGCTATCATCGTGATTATTTTCGACAATGGGCACAATTCCCTTTCAAGATGTGAATCATTTAAAGTTTATCTAATGTGTTGCATTCTATCACTTTAAATGGTAACAAGTGAAGGTAAATCATCAAAGCTAGTTATTGTTACATTTGTTAAAAGATTAAGATAAGGCCCTTTCTATGATGTTGCATGAGGTTAAGTTACCTTGTAGTCACTCCTTTATTTCGTTATGACAAGTATTGGATGTTTACAGGTGTCAGAGCTTCTGTTGGCATTTTCTTTCGTGTCCTCTCGTATTACATTAGTACTTGAAGACGCTAGTATTTGCTGACAACTGCTGGATAAGAGACTGAACAATCCATGAATGACATTAGCATTTGTTTGGTCCATTTAGCCAAACCATGTTACTGAGCTTTGTCTTTCGCTTTAATGAAACGTTGCAGGAAAAAAAGAAATACATTCCTATAATCATCCTCAATCCTGTGACAGACTGAATAGTGTTCTCAATGTCCTTTGTTTACTGCAGCCACTGCAGCCCCTTATGGAACTAAATCCTGCTGGAGGGACTCTTAAATAACTAAAATAAAAATTATCTGATCATGTATAATATTAAGGGGTCTCTATGCTTGCGCATTATTCTTTTAAAAATCCCAAAATGTTACTTCAATTTTTTTTCCAGAAATTCTGTTTTATTTAGGAGTTTTAGTCATTGTCCAATTATCATTTTTGTCTTCCCTCCTCTAGCCTAAGAAATGTCTGCCAGACCTAGCAAATGCCCTCATGTATCCAATATTCCGCGTGGCGCCCAAGCTGAAATAGAAAGGGCAAAAGAAGTCTCAACATGCAAGGAATGTGGATCCCAAGGCCCAAATTTGTGGATTTGTCTCTATAAGGATTGTTTCAAAGTGGGCTGTGGGGAGGCACATGGAGATCATAGCACACTTCATAACAGAGTAAGCAACTTTGCTTGATTTTTGTTGAACTGTTTAACTGAAGGAACAAGATGAGGGCAAAAATGCCTTTGTGTCATTTCACTGAGTGGCTTCTTTCTTTTCAGTTCCTGCCAAGGCACTGTGTTCATCTTAATCTATCTACTCTGCGCGCCTGGTGCTATCTTTGTGAAGCAGAAGTATTTATGGAACAAGCTGTGGAACCAAGTGATTCAAGTGATACAGAGGAGAACTGGCGAGAAGATGAAAACTGGCGTGAAGATGAATCTAAACCTCGAGGTAGGCGGCTGTCACTTTCAGGTCTTTAAATTTTTCTTGCAAATTTTACTCATTTTGTAAATTCAAAATAAAAACAAAAATTTTCAGGCCTTACCGGACTTCAAAACATTGGAAATACATGCTACATGAATTCAGCTTTACAAGCTTTATCAAATTCACCACCACTCACTCAGTTTTTCCTGGAATGTGGTACTTCCCTAATTTCACTCCGAAGTGGAGATCGCAAACCTGGCTTGTCTCGCAGCTACCACCGCCTCATTCAAGAAATGTGGCATAAAAAACGACCTGGATATGTTGTACCAACTGCTATTTTATATGGAATTCGAAATGTAGGTCATGTCTAAGATACAAGTAATCAATTCTCATTGCACATTTCATTGATTTATAAACTTAACCCCCTGACTGTTTCAAAGGTGCATCCTATGTTCCGTGGCTATCAGCAGCATGACACTCAAGAGTTTTTGCGTTGCTTCATGGATCAATTGCATGAAGAGTTAAAAGAACCTGTGAGTCGGCCTCCAACTCCTGCAGCTTTGCTCCAAGGTATCTGAATGTTGACATACATCTTTATTAGCACTGATATGCAGACTAAAGTTTATGGATGGATATTGTTTTGTTCTGATGTACTAACTACCCATAAAGTATGTTGTTCGTTTATTTGTTTTCGTGTGCAATATGTGTTTCTTTGAATGATTTCAGAAAGTGGAAGAGCTGCATCATTTGAAGATCTATCAGATGATGAAGACTCAGAAAAAAAAGACTTTGGCCAGCATGAAGGAAGTTGTGGCGGAGCATCCAGTCAGTCAGAAGGAGAGTATGAAACCTGTGATTCGGGAGTAAGCGAGCGGAGCTCCCTCAGTGATGAATGCTTAGAACGACGTAATAGTGGAAGTAAAATGCCCAGGTACTATATCTCAGTCAGTAAATCGCTATATGAATGAATGAAATAGAGCCAAATGAGCGATTTCATTTCAATAAAGAAAATTTATTTTCAGAGTGTCTCGTTCTCCTTCTCCACCAGTGGACAGAATGAGATCAAAACTATCTTCAGCACATAGTAACCGCAAGAAACACATTACTAAACATCGAAGCATCATATCTGATGTCTTTGATGGGAAACTCCTTAGTTCTGTCCAGTGTCTCACATGTGATCGAGTGGGTACCATCTGCCACAGTGGCTCCTATCATTAAGAATTGTAATAATTTTGAGATTGGTGTAAATTTCTATCTCCATTTTTCAGATATCAAATCGTATTGAAACATTCCAAGACTTGTCTTTGCCAATTCCATCTCGAGACCACATTCACATGTTACACAAGGGCAGTGGTGCTCTCTCAGCCTGCTCTGATGTGTATGCTGCTGATCAGAACTGGCTGCACTGGTTTGTGGATTGGCTGCGCTCATGGTTTTGGGGTCCAACAGTCTCCTTACATGATTGTCTAGGAGCATTTTTCAGTGCAGATGAATTAAAGGGCGACAACATGTACAGGTATGTTTGTGAGAATTGCTGCAACTACAGTCTTAAATTTTGCACTCAACTGTCCACCTAACCAATTGAACTCTTTTTCAGTTGTGAGAAGTGCAATAAACTAAGAAATGGAGTCAAATATTCAAAAGTCATGGAACTCCCTGAAATTTTGTGCATTCATTTGAAACGTTTTCGTCATGAACTCATGTCTTCTTCAAAAATAAGCAACTATGTATCTTTCCCTCTCACACAACTAGACATGAGGCCCTACTTACACAAAGGTAAGTGTCGTTGTAAGCACCTTCTCTTAGGCCCAGAAGAAAAGAATCTGGTAAAAATGGTAAGCCTCTACATTAGGACCATTTTGTTCAAATTTTTTTATGGATCTGTCTTTTTTAAATGTTAGATTGCACCTCATCAGTATCATCTTACGATCTGGTCTCTGTCATCTGTCACCATGGCACAGCTGGAGGTGGACACTATACTTGCTATTCACTCAATTGCCAAAGCCAACAGTGGTTTGAATTCGATGATCAGTATGTGACTCAGGTATCTCCAGAGACAGTACAGAACTGTGAGGCATATGTCCTTTTCTACAGGTGAGCCAGGCGGTTTTTTGTTTGTATTACAATGTGATGTTATATTGTGCTTTAGCGCCTTTGTCTTCATCAATATATTTATTTATTTCCTTTTTGTCATTGCAGAAAGTCCTGTGATCAGGTGAAGCGGTTTAGGTCACAAGCTGTAGAACTACTGGAACAATCAAATAATGAACCTTCTTTAATGACATTCTATATATCCAAGCAATGGCTTAATAAACTGAACACTTTTGCGGAGCCAGGGCCTATTGATAACACAGATTTTCTCTGTCACCATGGAGGTGTGCGGCCTGATAGAATAAATGTTCTGCAACTTATGTATACTACTGTCAGCCATGCAGTATGGGAATGCTTGTACAACATGTAAGTTATAACTAAACAAAACTTAGAGAATTATTTAAACTTTCCTTCATTTATCACATTTAATGTCTTTTTAAGGTATGGTGGAGGACCAGCATGCAACCGACTTTTCACTTGTGCTACTTGTGAGCAAGAGCAAGCTGACTTGCAATCAAGAGTGCGAAGTGAACTTGCTGCATTTATGCAACTAAACAAGCAATTTTTGGTAAACAAAGCATCATATTTTCAACTACAGTGAAACCCGTTTATATCGAACCCGTGTATAGCAAATTTTCACTTCTATTTTTTTTTTAAGTCAGTCCCTTGGACGACATGCTTGCATATCCGCGCATAGCAAATTCCCGGGAGTATGTCGAGCTTTGTTTTAAACCCCCTTGAATTTGATATCAATGGATTTCACTGCATATGTAAGGAATTTCCCTTTATGATATTTACTACAAGTTATATTTTCCATTTGGTGGCATGATGCAGGAAGATGATTCAACATCAAATATTTACCTCATCTCAATGCAGTGGTTTAGGCAATGGTATAATTTCGTTCGTGAGAAGGACAGTGAACCACCTGGTCAAATTGACAACACTCCTATTATTTACACTAATTCCAAGACCGGGCAGATACTTCTGAAACAAGGTTTGTCTAAACTTGGCCTGTTTATTGCCCATGTGTTTTTATGCACATTGCTGAATTTTTATCTTTGTGTTTAGGTTCTGATTATGCTCAACTTTCCAAAGAGATGTGGGAATTTTTCCATGGTACCTATGGTGGAGGTCCTGAACTTGTGCTCAGACCCACAATGGCGAGGAATTCAAATGCACCAGGAATTCGCTCTGGGTTAGTCTTGTTTCCTTTCCCCTGTAAATTTGATTGAAATATTTAAAATCTAACTGAAAATGTAACTTGTTTTTGTAGATCTCGAGGTACTGAAAATTTAATATGTGATATAACTACAAAAAACAGCCAGTCTCCATTTCCAGAAAGTGCACATTCTAGCCTAGAAAATCTTACACAAAAGGTTAGTTGTCTAACTTACACTGTTTTCAAATTCCTAATGTGACCTAATTAATCATTTTTTTAAAACCATATTTTTGTTTGCTAGATGGCCACTCTTGTTTCCTCTGGACAAATGGGCAGCAGTTCCAGTCTGGGGAGTAACCCTTCTCAGTCTTGTGCATCCAGTGGGGCAAGCACGAGCGGTGTCAGTGGATTGAGCTACTCAAGTGGACAACGAACGGAGGTAGCCACAGGTATGGAGAGATGCCAATGATGATCTAGTCTTTGAGATTATGTTTTGCTGACATCTATATCTTTTCAGGAAAGGACCAAGATAGTGGAGATGATGTTACATTTCTAAATTCTTCACCACCAGTCCAAGACAGTCCAAAGCTAACACAGTTTTATGGTGATGTTGTTGATCTTTGAATCCTTGTTAATTATGTGGAAATGCAAATCAAAGCAGGCACTGTACAAATAATGTTTTCTTTACAAATGAACTGTGATGATTGGGCTACCTCCATAAGTTTGATTGGGATAACTGTCTTTTTCCAAAAATATTTGAACTGTTGCTTTCAATAAATGTAGTTTGCCTCTCTTCTTAAGAATCAATGCTTATTAGACTATGGGCTATTCTATTCAAGGGACAAATGAGTCTGAGGTCTGTGATCCTGTTGAAATCATTTATCAATTTTCTTACAGTATTACCTTATTACCCAATTACCCAATAAGGGTAATGCATGTACTGTATGGAAGGTGTTAAATTAAATCCCCTTAAATTGATAGGCATTATGCCTACTAGAGCAATAAGAGCTTTGAATCAAAGACACAGCATTTAGTCATCCTGTTTCCCTGTGTAGGTTTCTTGCTTTTATTCCTGTATTTTGATATTTTCTTCTTTTTACTTTTTGAAGGTTTAGTATTCCTATACTAAGTTGGTCCTTCACTGTTATAATTTACCTCATCGGTTATATTTAACTTCTTTGTTTTATTTCAAAATGCTTTTGTGTGAATGCCCTTTTGGGGATTTGTCTGTAAGTGTCCTAGGTGTTAGGAATTACAATCACTGCTTTACCTGGATTTGGCATTTTGTTTGTTTCTGAATTGATGCAGTATGCACCTTATGTATACTGTTAAGATATTCGGGAGACACACGGTGCAGAATGTTTTAATTGAATGAAGTCAATTAATATTTATTGTACAATTATGTATCCATACATATATTTTCTTGAAATTCCTATTCCCCATATGCAACATCTACTTGTTCTACAAGCACTTGACTAACAGTACAATAACACACAAACATTAATTGTCCTCTTACAATAGACAATACATTGACGAACACTGACAAGACAGGGAAAAAAAACCAAGTATGTATGAATTTCCACTAAGGACAAACATTTGCACAAAGGCCCCACCAAATACACTATTTGTTTAATTCAATGGTGATGCCAAATGGAGACAGAAAATTCAAAGTCCACAATTTAGGACAAGACCCCTGGACTTGAAACAAAGCTGAAGCTAACAGTCAAAGAACATCACGAACAGAGCAAATATTTATACTGAGAGTAACACAAATTGTACTTATCACAGATTTCCTACAGCTGAAGTATGAGAAATAAGACTATCACTAAAATCTAGATATTGATGCTTCTTATGATACGATCAAATGAAAAAAGATTCATCAAAACTGGCATACTTGAGTCCTCAGAAGGCATCACTCTCGACAACTTCCAGGTATGCCTAAGATAATTATTTCTAAGTAATTTTGTAATCTTCAAAGAGAAAATTAACAATTTGGCAATTTAGCCTAGGCCTAAGGGATGCAATAATGAGAAGAGTAAGTGTGCCATGAAAATGATCGAATATTTCAACTTCAGACATTAATGGGGAAGGCCATTCTTAAGAACAATGAAGACATGATTTATGTTCTTTAGTCCAAATAATGAAAAGATAAAATGAAACCAGTCCTTACATCAGTAAATGAGCTATTTCACCCTAAAAAGAAGTAAATCCCCATGAAATATTCAAATGGTTTTCACAGATTCTACAATGCAAATTACCTCTTTCATATACATACTACTCTAGGTTAGTAAAATGAACAGGAGGAAAACAGGATGTCTATAGATCTTTAAGTGTACCATATCTTAAATGGCTACAATGTTAAAATATATGCATACATGTGAATTACTTTAAAACTTCCTCTAATCCAAACCACTCACACCATCTGTCACCTCACCAAAATTCATAAGAGGGAGAACAAGTTAGCCATTCATTCACTAATCTGTGATGGTCATTTAAGGGTTTCCATCACAGGAAACAGAAATTCAGCAAAGAGTGAAAAATGTACAACAAAATGAATACAAGGAGAAATTACCATACACATTACAATGAAATCTAAGATCTAGCTTTTTAGTTCCGTTCTAATTATTTAAACTGGAACTAGACCTAAACTGCTAGTACAGAAACAGGTGGGTCTGAAAGTAATATCTTTTACATTTTGAGGAATAACTTTACAATATATTGCCACAACCGATGATAATATGCATTGATAACATAATATCTATAAGAAACTACTGGTATAAACAAAAAGAACATCTCATTTGAGTTAGCTTTCACACAATCATAGATTTGATGATTGCTATCAATTATTAATAATGAAGTTGAAAACAGTTGAAGAGAACCATTAATGGGCACAGTAATAAATACATTTGGAAAAGAGCCAAAGAACAGGCAAGAAGATTCATCACTGAAGGGAACAAGGAGCGAATTAAGGTAAATTCAATGAAGCCCTACTCAATAATTCAGTTCTTAAAACTTAAGGCACTTAGCAAAGATCAGCAGTGACCATCGCATACTTTACAATGACTAGAAATTAAATTTTAAAAGCAATTAAAACAATATCTCACACCTGGGAACAATTGGAGCAATAAACTGAAAATAAAATTATTTGAAAGCAGTGGCAATTGCTTTGCACATACAATTGTATATAAAAACTATTGTGGCACCAGTATTTAAAATCAATGAATTCTGAACCACACATGTTTCTGCAACTTGCTTGAGCAAGTGTTTCACACAACTATTGCAAACAAAGCTTAATTAACCTAATTCAACAAAATTTGGGTATTCAAAAAGTAAGTAACAAAAACAAATGTTCAAAATGTCCTCTAATAAAAAAATCCCATCTCTTTTCATGAAAAAAAATAATAAAAAAACATCAACAAAAAAAAGAAACTTTATAAAATGCAAAGTTAAAAAAAAGTCGCGCTGATAAGCACACAAGTATCTGCATACAGTTTTTGAATCATTACAGGATTTCGTGACTTAAATGGCTGTGCTGGGAGGTTTCTCAACAGCAACGATGGTTTGGCTGATTGTACTGAGTTGTCCAGAGCCCATGATATTGAAAGCAGAAACTTTTGCTCTTTGATATGCCACCACAGTATGCATACTTAAGAACCTGTAACATCAAATAAATACCATCATAAAAATTGGTGCGGACACATTAAAAATACAGGAGCAAGAACAATGAGAAATACTCACCGCACACATAAGTACTCTACCAAAAGAGCCACACCAACAGCCAACATTCGAATATAAGCATCTTCATACAACTGAATCGCAACCCAGGCACCAGCAGCAGACAGGCACATAATTGTAACGAGAGATGTTGTGGTAATAATTTGTTGTGATGTGAAGCCTTGCTGCCAATCAAGTCTGGCACCCCTCTCTACTTGATATGGAATGCCGCAAACCTTACAACGCATGTTGTCAGGATTGATAGAACTTTCTACCAACCATCGCCTCAAGCAGTCATGGTGTACACAACTGACATCCCCTCTACACTGACAAGGCTGAATTAAAGGCCCAGCATCATTGCGGTCACTATCGTAGCAAATCCAGCAATCTTTTGACAATGATGTAGTTTCATCTAAGAAAGAACAGAGGTAAACAACAGAACATAAGCAAAGTGACCTTAATTAAGTTTATTATAAGCTGCTGTGTCTTTCATCATACCAACCTGAGTCCACAAAATCTCTTTCAGCTGTATCATCTTTAGGAATTGCTCTGTGCTTCACATCAACTTCATATTTCTTCAAAATTCGTTTTGGATTTAAAATCCACAGTTGTTCGGGACTAGAGACAAGAAATGCAGAGTTAAGCCAACAATGTTTAAGAGAATATTTAAAAGATTATTTTAATTATTATGAAATAGTGTTTACCTCATGCAGTTCCATAGTACACATGGGAACCACAGTCCAACACCAATTTCAACCACACGAAAAACTAAATCATGCCAGTTACGAGAATTCAGAGGCACCCTAAAATCAAAGCAAACATAAATTTTCATCCATGAAAATTACTTATCTGAAGTGCTTTTTGGAAAGATACCTACTTCCATTTCCAAAATTCGCTTAGAGTCTCACTGAAGAGGAATCCCACTATGGTGATAAGCATAAAAGCTTGGGATATAAGCCCAAACCTGGACTGGTGAAGCTGTGAAGTATCAACTGTTTCAGATCGTGACCTCCATTTCGAGCTCTGCAACATTTAAGTTTGATTCAATTTCCTCCACACAGCATAGCATAAAAATGGCAGTAATGGTTTATCAAAGTAACGTCAAATGTATCAGAGCAAAATTTTCTACAAAATCATCATACTGTATTTACTTTACTGTGGAATGAAAACAAACCTGTCCATTGGACGGCAGGGCTGGGTCCTCCTCACCCTCCCCAATTTGGGACTGATCTTGACTTTTATCTCCAACAGGTGTTCGGCTGCTGGTTGCAATACTTGTCACTCTTGTTTGATGTTCGTATAAGAACCCACCTCGAACCTTTGACACATAAACAAAACAATAAAATCATAAAACACATAGAAAATAATTTAAAAAAACAACAACAACCAAAAACGGCAAAAAAGGAGTGGTTACCTTGAAGAAGACCTCAACACCATATATTAGGAAGAAGATCACCACAATAAACAACAGAACTGCGTAGCAACCATTGAATATATGAGAGTAGAAACTACGCTGGGCAATGTTGGAGTCGGACAACTGAGTAGTAATGAATTCCGCCAACAGGAGAGAGTAGGTTATGATGTTAAAAGTCACAAAAGCCAAATAAGATTTTGACAAAAACTGTGGCTTTTCCCAACGGATGTCACGCAGGTGGAACACCTAATTGAAAAAATCAATACAATTACAGTATTTAAGTTAAAAATCATGCTTGCATTGGATTGGATCGTTTATTCACATCCTTAACTAAAATTCAGGGAAAGAAACATACCTCTGCCCAGAAACAAACAATCAGAGATGCTCCAGTTAACAAGAGTGGGTAGTAAGCACTCAGGAGACTGCTGGACCACCCTTGAACCATAGCAGTCTGCAAGAGATTGAAAATCCATTTTATGTCTGTTACCATTTTAGCTACATTAGAAAGAGGGGAGGATAGACAAATGAGAAGACTTACTGGAGCAGTGAAGTAGGCCCCCCTGATCATAGCTGCCAGGAAAACAACAAAGTACAGCACTTTTTGCGTGGTGATACGGCATGCTCTCAATAAGGATGGAGCTTTCATGCGCTGCCATTCTGCCACAATGCAAGTGACAAGCTGAACGAGGCATACCAACGCAAGGAAAAAGAATGCTGAGGCAAACGCAGCAAAGTATGAAAAGTTCAAGGCATGGCACTCATCACCATCAAACTGGATCTAAAAAAAGAAATTCAGATTAAAATTAAGGCACAGAAAAAAAAGGTGTAAAATGATTTATTGTCACCACTAATACCTCACAAACACATGTCCCATTATGGCATTCTCCATGACCAGAGCAATTCTCTGCACAATTGGGCATGCCCAACTTAGCAAGCAGAGCCAAGGGTTTGGGAGAAGACAGCTTGAGGACACCACGCATTATAGTAAAATGAATTCGACACCTCCTTTACGCCTGTCAACAGTGCATAGAATACACAATAAAGTTAGACAGTAGTCAACCACAAACATAACTAGCTCAACTCCAGGATTTCTGAATACTATGAAGAAGAGCTCAAAACTTCGAATCCACAGAAATACGACTCGTTTAAGATTCATTGGAAGCCCTGACCCCATCCTGGGCTAGGCCTTAAGGGCCGAGATGATGGCAGAGAAAGGCTTATCACAACTAGGGGCGTAAACTAGAGCGCCCACAACAGTAGGGACTCAATCTCGTCGTTCTTAAGGGATTAAAGGCAATACAAATTCGGGGGAAGTAAGCCCGAGAAGCAAACCATATGAACAAAGAAACCTTTAACCCACAATCAATTAACCTGGGACAAAAATGTCAGCAGGCGACTTGCCTTCTCGGAGATGTCGGGGCCAAGCAGACATAAGCTGGATCCTCGAAAAACTGACATTACAAAGAGATTTCTCACTCAATTACTTTCTTTGCACAACGCACACACAACAAAAACACGATCTAACTGACAAGCAGCAAAGGGACAGCGAAGTTACGATCACAGTCATACCCTCCGCTGGCCCGTCTGCGATTGCTCATAAAAAACGAAACGCCGTTCAGAAGGTGTGCCGAGCATTGCAGAGCGTGGCGGCCGTCCTTGCGCAAGCGCTCGCCCTCCACAAGGAGGCTGGAGCGTGGCGGAGGCGACCAAACGCTACGCTCTGCAGCGCGGTCCCTTACCTGGAAACGCCTTGTGGCCTCAAAGGGGGCGCAAAGGAGTCCAACTGGCCGAGGTTGCGGTATCGAGTGGGTCGGGAGAAAACAAACGTGAACTCACAACACGCGCAACATTTGTCAGCTGTTTCTCAGTGGAAATGAAGTGATTATGCCAAGGTCGCAAAAGTTTACGCAACATTTATGCAAAATCTCGTAAAGCACGTAGATGTCTTAACGCAAGGATTAAAAAGTGGAATATCTGGACTCATGAACCTCACAAGTCAAGCAACGGAATCTGCTAGTGGTGTAAATTTTGTCAATTTTAACCAAGATTGCACGTAAGTATACGTTTTGACAAGAGGCTAGCTACACTCGCTTTCGCAGTATCAATCCTTTGTTCTCTGATGAGGCGAATATTGAAAGTTTCCCTTGCAAAATTGCGTATATTGGTGGGTTTTTAGCTTTTCCATTGTTGTTGAGGCGCCCGTAACGCGATGGAAGGATGTCAGAAACTGTGGTCTAGATGAATTTTCACTGAATTGCACTAGTGTCATCTGTTGTTGTCTCTTTTGTTCTGTCAAAATGGAACATCTTCTTGTTATTTTGATTTAGTTTCTCTTGCGATACGTGTTTCCTGGGGATTTCTCCGAACGATTTCCTTTTTCTAGCAGTGCTTTAAACGATATGTTACATTTCTCCCTTCATAATATGAAGTGTGAGGTAGGTTTCAAAGATAATTAGTTTGTTATTGTGTGATTCTCATGTTGAAACTTTTTACGTTCTTAGATGTTCTGAGAAAAGGAGCAGAGTAAAAAAACAATAGGGGAAGGAGAAAATTCTTTGTTGTGAAAGAAAGGCATTTTTAACATTTAGTATTGGCCCATATTTTCTTTTGTTTACATATAACATTTTCCACTCACACATTTGGCTTCTCTCCTTCAGCTATGCAAATCTGTTATTATTTATTATTAAACGTTTGCAGGAGATCTGTCCCATTTGTGTCTCGGCATTTTGCATCATGTGTTGAAGGAAAAAGAAAACATTTTATCCAGTTTGCCTGTGGTTCTTCCGTCTCTCATTTCTCTTGTTGGTTTGCATTAAAGGTCATTAGCAGTTGGTGCTCGAAATGGATATCGGCTCTTCTCCCTCAATGCTGTTGATCAAATCGAACAAATATATGAAAATGGTAAATTCCAAATTTTGACATGTTTATTAAATTATGTTGCTGTTTTTAATGTTTCACTGACAAATGTTTCTATCATTTATTTTTCCAGACTCCGAAGACATCTGTATTGTGGAGCGATTATTTAGCAGTTCTCTTGTGGCAGTGGTCAGCCTCTCTTCTCCCCGCAAGCTGAAAGTTTGCCATTTTAAAAAGGGAACGGAAATATGCAATTACTCATACTCAAATACAATCCTTGCTGTGAAATTGAACAGGGCTGTACGTCCATTTCTTAAAGTCACCCCCTCTTGAAATTTTTCTGAGCTTTTACATGTTTATTATACTATTTTTTTGTCTTATTTCTTTCAGCGTTTAGTGGTATGTCTGGAAGAATCATTATATATTCACAATATCCGTGATATGGGAGTGTTACATACAATAAGGGACACACCCCCCAATCCTTTGGGATTATGTACTCTCTCTGTTGATGCAGAAAACTGCTTTTTAGCATATCCTGGTTCAAACACTATGGGTGAAGTACAGATTTTTGATGCAGGTAACCTGGTAAGTTATTTAAAGCATCTAATAGTTATAATTGGTTTCCCTAACCAAGACTAAGTTTGTAATTTATACTGTTTGTCTCAGCATGCGAAGACTATGATTGCTGCCCATGACAGTCCTCTGGCTGCATTAAGTTTTAGCCAGACAGGAGGAAGAATAGCTACTGCTTCACAAAAGGGCACAGTCATTCGAGTGTTCAATGTTGCTGATGGTACCCGGCTTCATGAGTTCAGAAGAGGCGTGAAGCGCTGTGTATCTATTTGCAGTTTAGCCTTCAGCCATGATGCAACATTCTTATGTTGTTCATCCAACACAGAAACAGTTCATGTTTTCAAACTTGAAGAGCCAAAAGAGCTGTGAGTATAAATGTTTAACGCTTGATGTCATTGGTGGCTGTTAGAATTTGTTTTAATTCAGTAGTTGATGTAGATGATACTTGTTTGTGGTGCACTTTATTCTTGCTCTTGTTAACCTTCTTTGCATGACATTGTCCTGTTTGTTTGATTCTTTACACAGCTTTCTGTTCAGAAATGATTGTTTTTATTATCTTGATGCTTCTCGCCACCGACATAAAAAACAATGTTCCTGCGTTTCCCGTCTTCTTTTTTTTTCTCTTTTAAATCGTAATCTATTTACAGGAAGGACCAAGTATCTAATGTTGGAACCAAACCACAAGTCCATAGCATGTATGTACTAACCAATTTCTGCTTTAAAGCTATTAATAGTAGTAAATGATTTTCGTTAGATCTTGTTGCTAGATATTTATTTTTTTATTTTTGTTACTACATAGTTGCATTGTCTTTTCTCCCCTCAATTTGTCTTTTAGTAATGTTATGTGGATATAGTTTTGGTTGCTTTCTTTGATCTGAAATATCAGGTATCCTGACCCTTTTTATGCTTTGTTCCAGGCCCAAACAAGCAGCTGACGATACTCAAGGTGGTTGGATGGGTTACTTCTCAAAGGCTGTTAGTGCCTCTGCCAATTACCTGCCTACTCAGGTCACTGATGTTTTCAATCAGGGGCGTGCCTTTGCATCTGTACGACTGCCATTTCAGAATCGTCGCAACGTCTGTGCCGTAACCATGTAAGAGTTCAGTTTTTTTTTGGCTTTTTTTTTTGTGAAGATGCCTCATACCCTCAATTGTATTGGAAGTTTTAATTTTTTGTTAATCTTTTAGGATTCAGAAGCAAATGAGGCTTCTTGTTGCTTCTGAGGACGGATACCTGTATGTTTACAGTCTTGACATGAATGAAGGTGGTGACTGCACTCTTTTAAAGCAACATAGGTACTTAATTTGCATTCAAAAATAATTTCTCTCTGAAAAAGTTGCTCTCTTAATTAATATTTTGACTCCCTAACTTAGGTTGGATGGTGAGCCTGATCTTCTGCCAGATTCAAATGCCAGAGTGCCTGCATCTCCAGCACCAGCTCAACCATGCGGTGAGTTAGAGTCAAAACTTGTTTACTAATCCATTTTTTTAAAGAAAACAGTGTTTGTGAAGTTAATGTGCATGAATGTAGTTCTTAACTTGTACTCCTGTTTGAAGTTTTGATGTCTTGGTGTTACTGATGTGTTTTGCCTTGTAACTCCTTGCTGAGCTACAAGAAAATTCCTTGCCTACAAATTATTTCATGGTGATTGAAGTAAAAGCATTTGGGCCATTTGCTCATTCTGCATCTTTATCACCATACATAACTTCTGTAAAGTGTACGAGTTCTTTTTTATTGCAAGCTCCCCCTTTGTTTTTAGTGTTTCTAAAACGTCACAAAGAAACAAAACACAACATTTCTGCAGACCAGTGCTAACACAATATATTTTGAACGTTATAAAGAAAAAATATTTTCGTTTACAATTTTGAACAGCGGCTTGTCTATGTACCTCTAAATTCTTTATGGTATGGTACTTAACAGATTTTCAGCCTCAAGACTGCTACTATCAGTATTGTTTGTTTTTGTTTCTGTGATTTCCCGGCCCCGATCGAGCAGGGTCCATAAGTAGCTACGCCGGCATTTTGAAAGGTCACTCTCCCGACTCCATGTCAGGTACTGGTACGTTGGGCAATTTCTTGTCCCCTCCCCCTTCTTCAAATTCGTTTATTTCTTTCTGCCCTTTTCTCATTTCCCGATGTGAGTAACTTAATTTCAAGAAACAGCCCCCAAAGATGCAACATTGATTGGTGATTGCGCACTAAGCTTTCATAATGTATGGCTTGATTTAAAACTTCGACATCTTAGACATCACTAGACATCTATTCAATAATAAACAGTGCATAAAATGCATAAAAAATAAAGTTGCTTTTTTTCCTTTCAAAATACTGCATATTATGCTTAGGCAACGTGCACTTGCTTCAAAAAATAAAGCATGATTTAAGCAAAACGTAATCAAAATTTATAAACAAAGAACTCAGTGAATAGGTATAAGGCAAGGAATAAGGTTAACATAAGTCCTTTGTTTGCTGTTGTATTGTAAAATCTGTGACAATTTGATAACCCCATTGTTTTTTTTTTGTTGTGTGTCTAACATAAACGTTATTATTATTATTATTACTATTGTTTTTATTCATCTTTGTTGCCAATGCAACACTTATAAAGTTAATTATGGCATGTTTCTGTTTGGTTTTCTTCTCCTAATGTTCTCAGTGGAAAACAAGCATTCCATGTCCCTTACAGTAATAAAATTTGATGTAGTTGTCCTCTAAGGATAATCGTATCATTTGGTTGCTCACTTTGTTGTCTTCTTACACATCTTGCTAAAATCTAAGCGCTTCATTTTGTTAGCGTTGGGCCCTTGTCCTATTTGTTTAAATTTTCAAGTGGCCTAAGAGCCCAACAGTGTTTTAATGATAGAGTTAGGACACTCAGTTGATTTTTATGCCACAATTTTACTTTCCTAACAGATTCGGAGAAATTCCACGAGATGGCAGCAGCAACAGAATCCCCTCCCAAAGGAGGTTTCCGGTTTGATGATGACAGTGAGTTCCCACCTGTTACGCAGAAGACGGAGTAAATATTACTGCAACCTTGAATCTTTTTACTGCCTAGAAAAAAGAGGGGGAAGGGAGGAGAGAAGGTGCCAGGAAGTAAAACACCAAAAAAATATAAAAAAATTTGCTTAGTAATTGGTTAACTTTCCAGATGAGAAGGACAGAAACGCACATTACTACTTCTTTGTTGTAGTAGTAACATGTTTTGTGTGACCCATTTGGATATTGCTTCAGACTACCTAAGTACCTGTAAAAACATGTGAATTTTTATGTAATCTCCTTAAAGAGTCTTGTAGATGCATGTAATTTGCAAGTTTTCCCTTAATTTTGGGTCTTAGAAAGTATGTTTCTGCCTCTTCCATTTCATTTTCTCTACAGTTTTACATGTTAACCTTTGCAAGGTCTGATATTTTTTATGCAGTTTCTCCATTATAAGACACTATGAAATATTCAAATGTATAAGTTGTGTGTGCAGAAAGTCAATGTTGTTTTTTCTGCAGGGTTATATGTTTAACCTTTCTAAGGTATGATTTTTTTAATGCAATTGTCTCAGTCATGAGAAATTATGAACTATTCAGATGTTTAAGTTTTGTTTTAGGGACTTTGTTTACAATCATTTCAGCCCGGTTAAAAATTATTTTCTACTGTATTTTTTGACAGACATATCACAATGTGTGAGTACACAAGTGCCATTTCATTTGTAACATTTTCTTTAAAATTTTAAAATATGACTTTCCCTTTTGGCTCATTTCATTTCACTGAAAGATAAAATCTGAAGAGTTGTCTTCATACTGTTCAATGTTGTAAAAGGATAGATATTCATTTTGGCACCTGATTTCTGCTAATAACACTATGTTATCATCTTATTGTACTGTCAGTCAATGCAAACTACATTTATATTTTAGGTACTGTTAATGGTTATATTGGTTTTGTTCAAAATACGTAATTGCACTGTCTGGCATTTGGTTCAAGATATATTGGAGATGTATAGAAACAAATGTGTCTTTGTTGTATTGTTATACTCAGTTCTGTTTTTAAAGGAACTTACTGTCCTCTGTCCTCCATTAATTTTTCCAGTGTCACATGTTTGATGTTTATTCCCTCTCTGCTTGAAAAATGTTCCAAAGTGCCATTTTCTTCCTGTTTTTTTTTTTTTCTTTCATTCTCTTATGGCCGTTTCTTGAACTAGCAATGTTGCCACACATCTTTATTTTAGAAACTGTAGTGCACTTTTAGGCAGGAAAACTTTATTCAGTACTTATCTACGTGTCATTGGTTGTATTCTTTTCAATCAGGGCATACTTTAGAGTATAAAAATTATCTTTTCATGTGTGTTGTAAAATCATTTAATTAATATGTGTGTGGAGACCTAGTCGGGAACCATGTTCAAGGACATATTTTTCTATCTGGTTTCTAGCTTATTTCATGGCGTTAAATGAGATCATGGCTATTTAATTTATCATACTGAGAAATAGGGAAAGTTAGCTCCATACATTTGTGTTTTTCTTTTAGAAAGCCACCACATGAAGACACACCGTCAGTTTATCTCTGTACTACCTAGTGTTATTCTTAGGGAAGGTGAGACATGGAATTAAAAATAAATGAAATTGTTTCTTAGGTTTTCTTTTAGACCTTTAAAAGTATGGTTATACTGTGAAATGGGATGAAATGCTGTTTGAGTAAGGTAACTTTCAATTATAACAAAAGATAAATGTTGAATGTCCAAAAAATGAATGTTCCAGTGTAGGTGAACATGGGGTTACAATGGGGAAATCGGTTTCATTCGGGATCTTGGAATATGAAACCTGGGTCAAATTTATTGTTAACATATTGGAATCGTAATACTGTAAGCTCAAAACTTTGAGTAAAATTTCTCGTTTTTATGTACCAGCTCAGTAGTGTGCTTGGCCTACTGACAGTTTCTGATTGTATTATTTACCCCTCTTCAGCCTGAGTTAACTGTCATTGTTAATTTCAGAAACAGTCTAGGCATTTTTGAACATATTGTGAAAGACCTTAATCAGATCTTGATTCATTCATTTACATTGAAATTAGTTTGGATAGCTGAAGAGGGGAACTAGGACCAAAATAAATGGATTAAAATGTTAAATTACAATCAATGCCAAGACTAACGTCTTATTTGATTTCCATGGCCGAACCAATGCCGAACTCACACTCTCCCTGTGACTTAACACCACATCTCAAGCACCTTCAGTTACATGACGAACTCATGCTTGAGTGATAACTTTTCATTAAGGGGAAAAAGAAGAAAACGGTAAGAGAACACCTTTTTTTTTTATTAATTGACCACTTACAGAACGGGATTTTTTTTTTTTTCAAAAGATTCCCCTGTGTAGTTCAGAGGATATGTCAAAAATAAATCTTTTAATGTAAACAATGTTCTAATCTAAAACACCCTGTAGTTTCCATACAGCTGACAAATAGATTAAATTGAAAGGGCCATATTGGTCCTCTCAAGATGTCTAAAATAAAGCCTTATTGCTAACAAGAAGGATTGAGAACAAAACTGATCTTAACATGTACTTCCAATAATAACAGGCCAGAAGTAATTGTTATTGCATTCACAAACACAATACTACATATATTACAATTTATAAAACTGTAAAGAAACATTATCTTGAATAGCTGCTTCAGAACGGCAGTGCTGTAAAGAGTGATACACAGAAAGCATTACTTAATGAATTTCATTATGAACATGGATTCTTTAACAAGCATCTAAACAACTTGCTTAGAAATACTACATAATTACACTTTTAGTAAGAAACATACAGCAAAAGAAGTTACAAGTACCTGTATTTGAGGCCATCCTGTATTATTTTACAGGCTGAAAACTGCATGCATAGGTTTGAAAAGACCCAACTACACAGGCACTAAGTATATTTATGTTAAAACTAAATCACATGAAACACAGTAAGACCTTAACATTACAGTAATGAATGTTTTTTGAAATACTGAACCCCTGTACATGCTTCCCCCCTAAAAATTAATTACAGTAAATATGAGATGGATGATAAATTTTCATTATCTGAGTCTCATAAAAATTAGCAAATTGTTCAGAAAACACAATAGTCATTTCATTCCAGAACACTGAACCCCACTGTCACATAGACAGCACATAAACCAGTAGTCCAAAGTCAATGTTAAGTGCCCATAGCCATAGCGATTGTTCATGGCAATGTAGGTACAAATCAATATGGGGGGAACCTAATCAATCAATGGACCACCAAAACCAAACTAAATATCTTACAAGTTGGTGGAGGAAAGATGCTGAGAAAATTCCACGTACCATAATAAATCATGTCATCAGAACCAATGAATGCAAAAAATTAAAAATCAAAAAGACAAGATAGAAAGGGGGAACTTCAATCATAATGTGCTACTGTCAACACATTGATTTGGTTCAGAGGCAGAAATACCAACTTTCTTCTTGGGTTGCATTTACATCAAAAGAAAAGTTAGTATATCCACAAGTTCAATGTCAAACCAAGGCTAAAGATTAGAAATAAGTTTGGCTCAGCAAAGACATACAAACAAGCATTACCTTTTCTTTTTTTGTTAAAAAAGAACACAGAATTTGGACAGAGACCTGCTCATCTTCATAAACAAAATAAATAACAATTGATCAGCTTTCTTAAAATTAGACACAAAACTACTTTTATTTATTTTCTTTTCCATGCCGAAGATGATACAGGGTCAGTAGATGACAAAGTCGGAAAGTGATTTTCCAAAGTGTGTGTTGAAATATGGACTCGAAGGTCTGATGGAGCTAGTACTTGACGACATGTGGCACATATCTCAAATTTGGGCAAAGTCCCCTTTCCTTCATTGCATTGCTTAAACACACTCAAAAATTCCTAGAACAAAGGGAAAAACAACACATAATTAATGTAAAAATTTAAGAAAACAAAAAGCGTGCAAGTATATTATGGAATTACATACAAAAGAGACTTACCTGCTGTCTCTCGATTTCAGGAAGAAGCACTACCATTTCAGGAAAACATTCATTGAAAGCCTTCTCTCCCATAAGGTCAACACAATGTTTGTAGTAACTTGCAGATGAAAGTTGTCCTTGGCGGAAAAGAATAGACATTTGTCTAAATTCTTCCTGGCGACTGGCATCACGTAGAATGTCCACCACGCGCCCCATGAGGGCAGCGTTGCGCCGTTGGAAGTCCAGGGGCTGCACAAACTGGTTCCCACTGGCACCCGGCAAGATGGGATAGCTTTCACCACTGCTACTGGTAAAGGTGAGCTGATTTGAAGGAGGCCGAGCAACTGAATTTACTTTCACTGAGAAACCTGGTGGTGGCACAGGCTTTTTATTTGGCACAGGTTCCACAGGAAATTCAAAACCAGGAGGCGGATTTACAGCTGAAGTTGAAGACTTTGGCACTTGATTGTCACCACGAAGGATAGAAAGTAGTCTGCTGGTTGTATCCTCAATACTACCATTGTTTTCTGAAATCTGAAGACTTTCAATTTGTAGCTCTGAACGTTTTCTGCCATTAGCACTGACATCTGGTGTGGGGTCCTGGTTCTCTCTGTTGGCTACATTTGGTTTACTTTGATTACTTTCATTGTTTTCTACTTTACCATTTTGGCACTTGGGTCGTTCATTGTTTGCTTCCTGTTCCTGAGGTTGCTGCTGTTTCTGCTTCTTCTTTTTCTTCCCTGAGTCAGCAGTGGCATTCGAAGAGACCTGCTCAGAGAGCACCTTTTTGCTTTCAGGTTGGGACCTCTCTCCCTCAGCTAAATTTTGATTTTTATTCTTTTTCTTTTTCTTCTTTGATTTGGTATTGCTAGCAGAACTAGAATGAATTTCACTATCACTAGATTTGGCAGGAGAGTTGTCTCTTGCTTGTTTTGACCATGAGTTTGACATTGGTATAGTTACAGAGGAGGCCTTCTTAGTGTTGACCTTCTTTGGAGGTGCCTGAAGACTGGATGTTGTGGGAGCCAAAGAAGGGAAATCTTCTTCAATAGTGAACTGGGTCTTTTTTGGAACCTGAGGGGTAGCGTTTTTACTGTCCATCAGCTGGGCAGCTTCTGCAGCACTGAGCATTTTGACTTTGCTGCGGGCCTGAAACATTACATTCCACAGTTAAAAAGATTACAATCTTTCTCCTGGTTAAGATAAAATGAGAAATAAAAATTTACCTGGTTTGGAATATCAGAAGCTTGAGTAGAAAGCCACTGTTCAGCAGATGTGCCCCTGTATGAATCCAACGGTTTTAACGCTGGGAAGTTCTCTTCCATTTCAGCAGGAGCATTAGCAGATGGCATGGGACCCCTCAACTTTGTGTTGCGACCAGTCAAAGTTTGCATAGCTGGAGGTGGGTTCGATGCAGGTGGCCTTCTGTTGACTTGAATAGAAAAGTTTGGTGCGCTAGTGGGTCGTTCCTGTCCACCCCTGCTGTTAACACTCAACCATACCTAAAAAGCAGGGGAAAAATCCACAATTAAGAAATGCCAGACACAATAAGATAAGAAAAGTGCACTGTGTGGCACCGCCATAGGAAGACAGTTATAAAAATAGGGTGTAACCTTGTGACTTGGGGCTGGTGATGAGTTTGACAGGGCAGGAAAGTTTTCCTTTGTCATAGCAGGGCGTCCTACAGCTCGAATCATGACACCACCACCTCCACCACGGCCTCTAGACGGGGCGATCGGAACTGAGGCACCACCACCCAGAGACGGAAAGTCATTGGGGTTGAGGCGAGGCTCCTCAACAGGGCGAACTTCGGCAGGCCTTGGAGGGGCTTCCATTCTGTTATCCTCTCTATTACAATTGCAAGCTCCTGCGTGGTTACTGGAAGGAACAACTCATGTAAGAAACAAAAGCAGGATTTGAACATTCCACAATGAAAACATGAGGGCAAAGCATGTTTCTTATACCATGCAGATGTTGAATTCATAGGAGAAGCAGGACGACGTGCAGGTCTTTCACCTCCTCTAAAATTTCTGTCAGGTCTCTCACGGCGTGGAGCTAATGTAAATTCTAATTCCAAGGTACGTGCCTGCTTTGCAGCTTGTTTTCCCATAGATCGAGTGTGACTTGATGCTCTGTGAGCTGTTACAAATTGAGAAAGAAAAATTCAGCATAATTTGTAACATACACTTAAGACAATGATGAAGGATTGTTTCCCACCTTTAAGATCAATTTCAGAACGAAACGCAGAGGTAAATTTTTCTTCATAACAGGTACCTTCCTCACAAAGATAATGTTCTTTCTTAAAATGTTCTCTTAAAACATCGTAAGAGCTGAAAAAAAAGGAAGTCACTTCATTCCTGAATCCTTTTGACAAAAGATAAATTGGGACAGACAAACAATGCTCCTCTGATCAAACCTGTAATATTGATGTAATCCATCAGCATCACAAAAGTGGCAAAATAAATGGTCTTTGCGCAGGTGCCGAAACAATTCATCATTGTCCATATACCGTTGATCACAGAATTCGCATAGGGGATGCCCTTTGTGAGATTTGTCATCAAGATCTCCTTTTCTCCTGTGGTGTGCAAGCTCTTGACGATTATATGACCTCCTTTCATGAGAAAATATCTGTAAAAGGAGGAGAAAATATCTAATGGTAAGTACATCAAAACCAAAAACCATGATATTAAAACGAGTGAAAAGTATTTTACCTTAAGGTTGTCAACACAAAGATCACAATAGAATAACTCATGCTTTTTTCGCATATGGTCTTTAAGGAGTTGAAATGACGAATGTGATTTAGAGCCACTGCAAATGTGACATTCATGCTGGAGTAACTTTTCGTATAAATTTTGTGTGGGACCTCCATCAAATAGAATTTTGAATTCCTTGTCACTTGGATATGACTTGCCCGCTATTTCTCTATACGGACGTATAGACCGAGTGAATATGACCTAGAAAAAACACAACAATTTCAGACAGATGAAATTGAAAATCTGAAAGCAACATTAACTAAACAAAATTGACGTTGCAGTCCTCAAAACAGACAAATCTGTTCAAATGGCTCTAAGTTGTGAAAACAAAACAACAAAAAACACGTTGCATGAAACCATGGTTCATTAATAATCAAGTTATCATGTGGTAATCATCATTAATTTGAACATGAAGAGCGAACCTAGTGAACTACTAGTTGGGTTTTCCCTGCACCCAACAAACCACTTGTGACCTCTCATTTTTTTTTCTTTCCTTTTTTAAAGGAAAAAGGAAAATGGAACAACACAAGAACCACAAGATGTAAAATAGACTTCGAGGTTGGGAATTTGATAAATTGATATATTTAACCTCAACCACATAGACTGTAGCTGAGCAACCAATGTAAACATATGTTAGGTTAGCTGCCTGAAATTGACACCAAGATTGTCGAAGGGAAAGAACGTGATTAAAAATTCATTAAAACTTAACAAATCAACATACTTTTGGCATGTCTTGCCTGCAGATGGGACATTCATTCTGACGGCAAAGAACCCGCATTCGAGTGGAGCATTCATAGCAAACGGGATGGTCACATATCCCTATGGAGAATATGTCCACGTTCTTGAAGCACACGACGCAGGTGTTGTCGGTATTCGACATGATAAATCTGGCTTACAATTCTCTCGCACGATGCAAATATTCAACAGTTCCCCTCAAGGACAGAATCTAGCCCAAAAGTTTCGAACACCACTTCTGCAATCACCACGACTTGCAGGGGTCCGTCTGTCTGTCGTCACGCACGATCGACAAGCGCCTTCCCGAAAGGGTCAAGTTCAGCTTCGAACGTGGAACTCAGCTCGGCGCTGATTGGCTGCGACAGCTCCCATGTTGCAACGCGAGAGAGTGTGCATTCGCGGCGCGCCAAAATTGAATGAGGTGAGAACACAATGGCATTTGTAGCTGCCAAAATCACAAGAAACTTTAAAACTCTCTCATAAATACCCTACGGTCTACATCTGTTGCACTTCTTTTGTCACCGATACGGGCGTATAGCCCCCATCCGTCTCTGTTCTCATCGATTCGAGACGCTTCGGGAGAGGCCGATCGCAGCGCCCTCTCTGCTTTCTGCTTGCAGCTACGCTCCGCCCTCGAAAGCTTCAATTCCTTAAGGATTTGCATCTAGGAACGGCTGCTAGGTAATGTGCGCTCTCCGTCTAGTTTTGTTTATTTTGACTTTCTCGCGACATATACGGTCTTAAATTTATGCGAAAATCATTCTTTGAGTACAGTTTCATTCATTGGAGTCATATTTTTAAGTCGTTACGGCTAACGTAAAGAAAGAGAAGGGAGATAAAGAATCGGTCCGTGAAGGTCAGGGTTTTCTGCTATCTCGTGCAAATCTTCATTTTTCTTCTCTATCGAGACCAAATCGGTCCCTAGTGTACCTTTTCACTAGTTCATTTATGTACCTGTCCATTTTAGTTTCATCGAAACCCGAATTTCGGGTGTACATCTAGTGTTTCGTTTTGATTTACTCTGCCGCTAGTTTCTAACCTATGTCCTTGAGGTCAGGAGCAGGTTGCTTCCGGGTTTGAGCTTTTTTTGAGGCCCTAAAACGCAGTTAGACTCTGTTCTGGTATCTAGTTAAGCCCGGTTAATTTCTTTCAAGGAATCTTGCTTTATTTGAGACTGCTTAAATTCTTACATAAGCCCTTACATAATTTTTACAATGCATTTTCTCTCTAGAATTTACTTAAGTCATAGTTTTGACGCTATATTCACTGTTTTACTGTTACTGGATACAGAAACTTAGAGCTGGTGACCACTTTCAAACAGTTTAAGTTTATTGGTGCATCCTACGCATCTGTGTTATCAGTGAGATAAGAGGCGTATTTAGGTCACTATTTGGTCTCTTTTCTTTGACTGTGACGCTTATGTAATATCCCACATTTATAGTTTTGGGCCAAGTCCATGTGTGTACGCCGCCTTTGTCTCTGTCAGTCTGTAATTGGCTTTCCATTGCGCAGGCGATTCCATCAGCCTGCCTTCCGGAATGCATCTATCTGCCCTCACCAAGTATGCTGTAAAGCTCTCATTTATGCAGGTAAGTCAATCTTCATTAATCATTAATATTCATACAACAATGGCAGGCTCCTAAAATAGTTTCTTCCTATTTTCAGACCGGTGTTCAAACCGCATCTAATGCGGGTGAACGCATGGTCGTGCCCACAGCTCTTATTCTAGCAGGATTTGGCTTAGGGCTTTCTTCCTTCAGTATGAAGAAGATGGCATGCACTCCCAGCCGCAGATCAAGCTTACTTCGTATGCTGTGAAATCTGCCATGATGAACTAATACGAGAAACTTTTGAGAGAAATGACTGCACTTTAAATGAATGTTTATTTGCGATTGATGGTTGTTTTACTTATTGTGCAACATCAAATGGATTAAGCGACTGAGATTGTATGTGTGTTATTATTATTACTGGATCAGATTGTATTTGTAATTGAGTATGATAAGACAGGCATGTTTTTCTAGCTGATGTCTTCCTACTAGTTATATAATTGTTGTAATTAATATTATGCTACTTACAAGATTATTTTGAAATCCAAAGCACTTTAAGTTTTTTGTAGTAATGATGCATTGCTGCTGAGAGTGCATGGTTTCAGTGAATGAATTTTCATCATGCGTTAGAAGATAGTAAGGGTAGTATTGTTAGCTTACAACTCATGTGTTGTGAGTTTCCTTTATGGTGCAGTTCATTTTTGTGCAAAGAAGTAATTTTTCTTTAAATTATTGTTTTAAGTATGTCAAATAAAATGTGCTGGCTTCTGCAATTTGAGTTGTTAATCACATGAGTTTTTCAGGTTAGTTTATGTTTTAGGAACAGATTGTAGCAAGTGAATAACTTGCTAAATCTTAATGGTCTTACATCAATCATCTAGTTCAAAGAAAAACACATAAATAATGTATTCTTAACTTCTACAGCAACATGTTGAAGGAGATCATACATGTGGTCCATCATACAATCTTGGGACGATCACATCAGTAAACTCCACCTTAAATGTGGTCCGTTGCTTCCATAAGTCAGTGCAAGACAAAATTCTTAAATACATACTTGCTCCACAGAAAGAAAATTTTACCAGTTTTAGTTTACCAGTAAACTTGCCCTTACTAGCTAGACAAAGATCTTTCTTCTCTAGGCCCTTGAAATAAATGGTGTAACAATTGGAAATGGAATGTAACTTCTGTAGACTAATAATATGTTTTGGTCAGTGAGTAATTACACTGGCAAGACCATGAACAGGCACTCGTTTGGAGCTAAATGCAGTGAATAAGCAGTGAAGTTAAAAAGGAATTGTCGAGTTTTTAATCCAATAGGCCGAAAGAAAAATGATCTTAGTACCAAGTATATGCAAAGAATTCACATGTTATCAGTTGAATTATTATAAAAGGAGCACAATGTCACATCAAAAGCCAAAGGTGGTGATACATGCATTGAAAAGATACAGGGATAAAGTTTAAATACAGTTTTTATTGGATACTCTCCTTCAATAATGAATTGAAAAACAATTTTCTGAGACATAAAGGAACATCAACATTAATTAACACACACATGACTACTGCAAACAGTGAACATTGATCAACAATCATTCAACAGCTTAAATCTTCTACAAGACGACAATGAGTGATGTACACTGAAAATAAATTGTATGGACACATATAAATCACAGCTAAGACATTAGAAATATAATTGAGGGCAAAACACTTAGGGAAATGGACAAGTTAATGATCATAAATTGTAGCTGTAGCTGGAAAAGAAAGAAAATTAATAAAGAAAACAAACAACAAGGTGGTACTTGAATTCCCTTTGCAGAAAAATTAGATTTAAAACTTCCTGCCTTAAAACTTATAAAATTGACTTGCTTCACAGCAGGTACAAAACTTTAAAGTTACATTTAATTTATACACACATGTACAGTTTTAACAATAATGATTCAGCACTACTAGTATTTATTCAAATCGTTCTTGTTGTTAATTTAACAATACAACAGCAGCATTCCACATTCTCACATGGTAATAGACTTAAGTAGAAGAATTTATTCAGAACATGCAGAGCAATGAAGCTTGTCAGAGAAAAACATTTCTAGATACTGAAAATTCCTAAATACACCAATATGAACTTGAGAACAGCTATAATACTAACATAAAAATGAGATGACATTGAAAATTGAAAAACCCTATTTGTATGAAACTGGAATGTAATTATTATTTGTTTGAAATTACCAACACAGAAACATCTTGCCAAAAAGCAAATTGTTGAGAAAATGGCATTCTGAAAAATTCTTGCAAACGACCAAACCCTATACACACATTGTAGCCTTTTCAATTTACTCTAAGCACAGAAATTAGAAAATAATTGTACTTTAATCAGTCTCACAAGTGACTAACAAGGGGCAATGGCATGAATCCCATTTAACTCTAACACAGTTTTAAAGCTGGTCAGGGTCTTTTGTGCATACATGCTATGCTGCCTCTATCCTTCTTCAAAATTTAAATCCCCGAGGAACATTGATCCACTTCTACGGCTGGTTGATAAGCAGCTGCTCGAGCTCATCTGCTGAACGCAAAAGAAATGCTGCAGACTCTCTGTAGCCCGTTATAAGTTGTCGGACTGCTATCATTTCTGTGCTACTCAGTTTATGACTCAATAGCGGTTTGGTTGTGGTGGTCTTCATGCTGAGATCTGTAGGCCCTGCAGACACACAAAATTAAGACCAAATTAAATTCAAAACAGGTCTGAAAAATAAAAAATAAATAAAGACCTCAGAAACTTACCAGATGAAACTGGAGAGACTGTATCATTTGTTCGTTGAAAAGCCTGTGAAAAGTTGGGTCGATATAAGGTAGGAGGAGTTGATGAAGTTGTTGTCTGTGGAGATGTTCCATTGACAGGGGTAATAGTTGTTGAGCTAAAAAATTTAACAGAAAAGCAAGTTAGAGGTAAATTGCTGATCATATTTGTATTTAGCATACTGGTAGTCTAAATTTAAAAGAATTCTCACCTGTTATTTGTGTGGGTTGAGTGTACAGTGGAGGTGTTATTCACAGTAGGACAGGATTTCATTTGTGTGGGTATTATCTCAAGGCTTGGTTCCTTTTTAATGGAGTTGTTGTAAGGAAAGGCTGTAGTATTATTGTTGTTTACCATGTGATTGTTGTTATTTGTGATACTATTAATACTGTGCTGAATCTTGCTTTCCCGCTCTGAACTTGGAGTAATGTTGAAGGCAGGTGAGGTAGTCATGTTGACTCCTTGGTTGTGAGAAACTGGAAGGCCTGCTGATGCACCACCAGTTGTAACAGCTACAGGAGTTGTAGATGTTGCTTGTGTTGTTGTGAAATGCTCATGCATCGTTGTTCTTGCTATGGTGTCAACCTAAACACAATACAAAAAAATTCAGTTAAAAAAAATATATCCTTGGCTATAAACAGTTAAATTGACCATTGATAAAATGAGGAAAGAAATAAAAACTTACAGGAACAGCACCTGCTAACACAGGCATAGGCTGACTAACAGGTTCTAGACCAAGACGCATTCTCTTCGCATTGTGACTTTCATTTTCACACGCAGATGCCAGAATTTGCTCTGCTTGAACTGAAGTAAGATGAGCAGGTGTGGGGCGTGCCTGGAATCATTATAAAACAATAGTGTTTCTAAAAATACAATTCCTACACTCATAATAAATCAATAATTATTAAAATTAAAAGCACACTTACAGTGTCCCATGTGCCATTGCTATCTCTTGTTCTCTTATTTCTACGACAAGACTTGAGATAAGTTCGTATTCTTTTCCGGGCCCGCTCTGCAAATTCAGGGAATTGCCTGGTGCAGGAATCTATAATGGCTTGGATTTTTTCTTTTGGCTGCTTTGATATTGGCACAATGCGATCTAAATTCTCATCCACAAAAAGGCGCACAAACATCTGTGAACATAAAACATCTACATAAGGACTCCTCACCCTACCTCATTAATACAGAATTTTTGAAAACCTTTCCTGAAATTACTTTTCTTACATATTTCAGAAATTATGTAAAGTAATTTCAAAGAAAATTTATTTACTCACATTAAAGGCCTTGAGTCGTTCTGGGTCGTACTTGTGCGCGTCCAGGCGTTCGTCGGCCTCCTCGTCGTCGTCATCGTCGTCGTCCTTGTTGCCGCTGGAGGACGTCTCGTCGTGCACGGAGGACGAGTCGTGTCCGATGGAGGCGCGGTCCACCGTCACGGGGCTCTGCGAAACAAAGACAGGGGCAAGCACATCAAATGAGGTTCAAAGTCGGTGGCTTTCAGAGGGTTTGTCCCACGGTACTCACCATCTGGTCGCGCACGCCGGGCGGGGTCTTCTTGGCGTTGGTGAGCGCGGCGTGGTAGTTCCACAGCGCGGCCGTGGCGGCCACGGCGGGGTCCTCGGCCACGGCGGCGCTGCCGGGGGAGTGGTCAGCGGACGACACGGACGACAGCGACAGGCGGAGGTCGCCGTTACGCGCTGCAACAAGAAAAGCAACATTGTTACTCTGTGCTCGAGGAAACGTCCAGAGACACACAGGTGTTTGGTTCCCGCCGCCCCCGCAGCACCACGGCCAAGTCTGTGGGCCAACCGCCAAGCCTTTGGCCAAGCGGAGCAGAGGGAGGGCCCTGCCCTGGCCCTGCCCTGGCCCGGCCTGACCAAGCCCGATGCCAGATCAACAAGTGCCTAAATTCTTGCGAGGAGCCAGCGAGCCCGGCCGCCAACACGCCAACACGGCGCACGGCGCCAGCCACGCCACGTCCTTTGTGCCTCGACGCCTCGACGGGGGGCACAGGCAGCACCTCGGCAGCGCCAAGCAGGCCGGCATCCGGCATTCTGCCCGTGAGTGGCTCTCGGCGTTCTCGGCGCGTCGGGGCGGTTGTTGGAGGACACTCGGCCAAGCGGGCGGGCTGGGCTGGTGGCGCACGCTGCGTGGGGCCGCGGGGGCGGCGTGGGGGCGTGGGGGCGCGCGGGGGCGGCGCAAAGGCGCGGGCGGCAGGGAAGCACCGGCGCGCACTGCTGCTGGGAATGGGGATGGCAGGCCAGGCAGGCAGGAGACTGATTCCGAGAGTCGTTTTCGTCGCTCTGTCTCTCTCGCACTCGTGGGGCGTCGCCTGTAGGTGCGAGAGAGACAGAGCGACGAAAACAACTCTCGGAATCAGTCCGCACGGCAGGCAGGCACGGCAAGGAGACGGGGCGAGTGAAAAGCGGCGAGAAAAAGCGAGGAGCTACAGTAATGGGGTTCCGCTCCGGCGTCATGGCGCCCCACCCCACCCCACCCCACCCCACCCCTTTCCTCGGGGCGTACCTCGTTGGTGAGCATTATGGAAAGGCGAGGGCGGGCGAGGGCGGTTAGGGATATACATCAGCAAAGGGTCCTCCCTTCTCCCTTCCCCCGGCCCCAGCCGCGCGGCGTAGCGGACTAGCGGCGTATGGCCACATTACTCTGCGGATATCTCCCCTGCCTCTTCCAACCCTCGCTCCTCTTTCCTCGTTCCCCTCGTTTTGCAACAAGGCCGCCGGTTTGTTTTGCTGGCAAAAAGCAGGCAGGTGCTCTCTGGCCTCCCCGCGCCCGCCTGTCTCCGCCTGGTGGCGTCGCGGGGGCTCCGCGGGGGGCGTGCATAAATGATGGCGGCGTGACGCGTGGTCCGGCGTGGCGGCGCGGCGCTGGATGCCGTCTCGGCCAACTTTTGAGCCTCGGGCGACTCGCCGTGTCGCCTCGTCATGCGGTGGTGGACGGCGGACGACGCAGAGGGAGGAGGGTGCGGACTCGACCCGCACCCTTCCTGCGGAATATAGAAAGCCGAAGAGCGGCGTGGGCGGGGCGGGCCGGGGCGCGTGGGTGGGGCCGGGGCCCTCGCAGGGGCTCGCAGGGGCCCGTGGTGGGGCGCAAATTAAAGGCAAGTAAAGTTATATAAGGCGGCTGGAGCGGGGAAAGAACACTGGGGAATAAAAAGGAACGGCAGGGCTGGCGCAGGGCTGGCAGGGCTGGCAGGGCTGGCAGGGCTGCCTGCTGCTGGAGGGCTGGAAGATGGGGGTGATTGGCGCCACCAAAGGGGTGGGGGCGGCTGGCGGGCGGGGCGCGCTTTGTCACCTCATTTTATTTTTCCGTGGGAAACTCAATCTCCCCACCCCCGCCGGCCCCCTCTCCAGTCGGGACGGGGTTAGCCCGCGGACGGGCCGGGGGGCCGAGGGGGGCCGAGGGGATGGTAACCGCAGCACTCCGTCCACTTCGTCAGTAGGTCGGGTCATTACATCAGCAGCCTTGCAAACTCAATACGGCTCGCTGATCCGCACACACCCTGCGTGTGTGTGTGTTACGCCCGCAGTCTATCACGACAGAATAAACTCCATCCCAAACTAACTCTGCTCGCCTCCGCCCTCTCCATATCATCCCTGGAGGGTGTGCCAGATCCGTGCTGGCCGCGCTGGAGCCGCGCTGGAGCCGTGCTGGAGCGAGAACTGAGTGGCGCTGCTGTCTACGGTGCCTCGGGGCGCTCGACTCGCAACAGCAGACGAAAGATAAGCCTCGAAAAGACGGAGTGGGGTGCGTCGGGGGCGGCGGGGGCGGCGCTCCGGGGCCTGGAGGGGCTAAGCAAGTGAAGGGATGTTATTCGGCCGACTTGTATTGAATGGAGTGCCGCCCCCGCCTCGCCGCCCCCGCCTCGCCGCCCCCGCCGGCCCCGCCAACCCCAACCCCAACACCCGCCTCTGGACCCGGGGACCGGGGAGCTGGGTTTGCGACCTGCAAGACCATCAAGCCAAGGTTTAGGGCGGCGCAGTTTGGCCGGAGAGGCGCGGAGAATTGGAAGGGAGGGCGGAGGGGAGCGAGATGAGGGAGCCTTGTGCGAGGGTGTGGGTGCGCGTCCGTGTGGCCGTGTGTGGGTGCGGGCGGAAAGAGAGTGGTGTGGGTGCGGGGGAGGGCAGGTCGTGAATCTGGCGACAATCGAGGTTTGCTAGCGCTGCTGCCGCTACACTGCCACGCCGGTGGCGGCTGCGGCGTTACAGTGGAGGGTGGATGGGATGGGCGAGGCGAGCATTCCGCCGGCCGGCCGGGCAGTGGCGGAGCGCATCGCACCCCTAGCCTGCTGCCACCCCCAGCCTTGCCAGCCTGGCTAGCCACACAACCCTTCCATCCATCTAAGGCCTTTTCTTTCGACCGCGCGGTGGGCGGGGGCGGGGGCGGCGGCAGGCCCATCACCCGCACGGCCGCAACACCGCCGCCACCGAGGGGACGCCTTGTAGTGGCAGAGGCACGACGACGTCCCCAATTCCAGCCACGGCCAGCCAGGGCTTAATTAATTGCCAACATTCGCAGAGCGAACCGCGCGCCGCCCCCGTGGGCCCCGTGGCCCCGCCGTCCGCGGCGCTTCTTGCCGCCCTCCACGCCACCGCGCGACGAGGACGGCGACGACGACGCCTCGAACGGCCGCAGCGGGCGGCAAGCAGCACGCCCCACGGGCGGGGCGTGTCGCGAAATAAGTAATACCGGCGTCGCGGCGAGGCGCCGAGGCGGCAGCGAGAACTACTCGTCGAGCTGCTAAATAATGCCCCGCTGCCTAATGATCGCCATCTTGCCCACCCCTGCCACGCCGCGGACGGACGGACGGACCAACAGAGTGCCCGGGGCAGGCAGGCTGGCAGGGGCATATGGCTTTGCAACCCCTTTCCTACATTTGATGCGTTTCCATGACAACGGCAACGTCCCCTTTACGGCCCTGCACGCCGCCTCCCCTCACACCCACGCCGACCCACGCACGCACACAGCCGCACGCGTGTGGACGCGCAGCGCTGCGCAGCGCGCACACACAGCGAGCAACCCCCTGGTGCCACTCATCCGGACCCCAGAGTCCCGCCCAGAGATCGGGCTTTGTTATAATTGTGTCTGAGGATACGGGTGCGGGGGTGCGCACGACTGCCGGCCCCGGCGGCCCTGGCAGGGCTGGCAGCCGCTGCCAGCGCGCAGTCGAAACACGGCGCCCCTTTTTGCGCGTACTCCGCACAACGGGGGCGGACGGGCGGGACTCGAACCCGCGCCGAAGCGCCGACTCACGGCGGCGCAGCAGCGTAGCGACCTTTGCAAACAAAACTTCGGCCAGCGCTCGCGGGAATAAAAATTAATTACTCGGAGGCAAGGAGGGGGAAGGGGGGGGGGCACCTCCCCAACGGACGGACGGAGGGACGGACGGGGTGGGAAGGGTTGCGGTCTGTTTTCTGGGCGTTGGAGGGCCGGGCGGTCGGGCGGCGGGGCGGCGGTTCGAGGGTGGAAGTTGCCGGGAGTGATGGGGTGCGGTAGGAGCTCCCTGCCCGCTCACCTGCCTGTCCTCCCTGCGAGGGAATGAGGCTTGACCCATATAATAACCAGCGAGATGCTGAAGCACGCCGAGGCGAGCCGAGGCGGGCCAACTTGTTGTAAACCAACCACCGAACCGCGTCAAAGTCAGGCCGGGTCCCGCCGCCACCGCGCCCCTCCCCGAAGTGACAAGTTTCCACCCGGCGCCGTGCACCACAGCCGCAGCTCGACAGTGTTGGCATCGAGTGCACCTGAGCACCGGTCCGGGCCTAAAGCAGACGACGCGTCGGTCGCCACAAGGGTCAGAGACGAGGTCCCCGTCGTACTTCTCCGCCGTCCTCCGGCCGAGTTTCTAACCCTCGAACGCGCGCGCGTGGCGCTCCAGTGCTTGCACTGTCTCGGACCGAGAGAAAGGGGAAGCAAGTTGTTGTCGTCTGGAAGGCTCTAGGACGCAGGCCGAGCAGCAGGCCGCAGGCCGGAGGGTGCGAGTTTGCGAGGAGCGCTCCCCCCCCCCTCCCGGAGCCATTATGCGATTGGTTTCCAAGCAGACCCCCTGCTGATGACCGCGGACAAGGAAGGAAAAAGTTGTTCGAAAATTGGGCGCGTCGCGTGTGGCTTGGGCGCCTTTAGGCATCGCGGCATCGCGTGGGGGTTAATCCACCTGGATTAGCACGGCCTCCAGCATGGCCTCCAGCTCGGCCTCCAGCTCGACCTCCAGCACTGCCTCCAGCTCGGCCTCCAGCGCGGCCTCCAGCACGGCCTCCAGCAAGGCGGCGCCGGGGACTTGGCTGAACTGACAGTGACGGCTGCCGTCAACCAGCAGCGTCGCAAAAACGGGGGCGGCAGCGCAACGGGTTGGGGCGGACGGCGGGCGGCAAGCACGGCAAGGCCGGGAGGGCTTCGTGGAGGGAGGGGAAGGCGAAAGCCAGCCTAGAATTATTCCCAACAGCGGAGGGTGAAAGGCTCCGAGGGCCTAGAGGGCGGCCTGGAGGGGGAGGGGCGGAATAATTAAACAAAAAAGCAAGAAAACGAGAAACAGGGGCGGGAGAGGGTCCGCACGCAGTGGCGGGGCTGCGTCCGGGGCGCCGGCGCCACTACAGGTACGCCCCGGACGCGGCCCGGCGCCCTGCCCGCCCCACCCCGCTGCCACGAGGGCGCCAAATAATTAAGCAGGCCAAAGGGGCGGGGCTGGAAGCTAAATGGCAAGTAACGGCAAAGGAGCTCCGGGCTGGCTAAAAGAGAATCCTGTGGAGGCTGGCTTGAACCCGGCCGGCCCTTGCGCCGCCTAGCGCCCTTTGGTCTTAGCGAGGGCGGTCGGGACCTCGGTCAGGACGACCATCAGGGCTGCGGCCTGCGGGGCCTCTAGGACCTTCGGGGAGGGATCATCCCCGCGGCGAGGCGCCGAGGCAGGGCAACAGGCGGCGGCAGGAGTGGCGGCCATGACGCAACCGAGCGGCTGCTCCTTCTTGTCGAGCCGCGCCGAGGAAACCCCAGCAGTTCAAACCACGCAGACAGACAGGCAGACAGACAGGCAGACAGACAGGCACGCGGTTCACTGCGCCCCCGCCGCGCGGCACGCCCAGAGAGGCACGCCCAGAGAGGCACGCCCACGCAGGAGAAGGCGCCTCGTCGTCTCGTCGCTTCTAACCAAGTTTTGTGCCCCGACTTGGCCCGGGGACTGGCTGGCTGGCTGGCCGACTGGCTGCCCGGCTGGCCCACGCACCTGCAAAGTGGTCGTCGTCGGGGGCGTCGGCCTCGGTGGGGGAGAACTTCTCCTGGTGGGTGACGAAGGCGACGGGTCCGTTGGCGGGCTGCGGACAGACAGACAAAAACGGCATCAGTATCGCGATGTCGCGGGGGCGGGGCAGCGGGCCGGCAAAGGCGCTCCGTGCATCACCACGGCCGTCGTGGTCCTGGCGGGCGACTTATTTCTGCAGCTTTCTCTCTGCTCCACCCCCGACTACCAGGCCGTGGCTCCCTGGTGAAGGGCTTTAAGTTTAATGAGAGGGTGGCTGCTGCTGCTGCCGCCGCTAAGCCAGCTTCTGAGTCCGGAAGAAGAGAGGCTGCTTCGGCGGCCCCGTCGGCCCGTCCCGCAGGACACACCTCTCCTCTCCTTGCTCCGTAACCACACCCACGTAATGAGCGCACCGCTCCCCTCCCCTCCCCCACCCCCCGGCCGGGAGGGGCGCCCCACCCCTGCAAAGTGTCAGGATGACTCCATAATCTCCTTGGCGAAGGCAAGGCGCACTGCGGGGCGGGGAGGCGGGGTGAATCTCGTTCCGCTCCGTTGTGCCGGAACCGACTTTCGGCCCGGTGCGAACCGGGAGCCGGGAGCCGAGTCCGAGAAGGGGAAGCTCGGGAAGCTCGCGAAAGCAGCGAAAGCTTTGCGCCGAGTTGGAGAGGCGGGCGGCCCGACCAGGCACGACCAGGCCCGACGACCGGGCGACATCATCTTTGAAACTCGGCGGGCTTGGCCTGCGACAGCACCACTGCGGCGCGGCGCCACGGCGGTGGGGGGAGGGGGGGGGGGACACCTCGTGGGCGTGCCGACAGGGGTCGCCGGCTCCGATAACATAATTGGAGTTTCGCAGTTTCTCATGTTCCCCTTTAATTTGAGTCCATTTGCTCAGTTGGCGTTTGCAAAGCTTCAGATTCCTCTTGTTTGCATCATTGACATATGAAAATTTCGTATTTTTCCCGCCCTATTTTGTGGCTTGGTTTTTTTTTTCGACGCGGAGGTGCCGCGCCGTGCCACCATGCCCCTTGGCGGCGTGGCGTCGTGGCACGTCGTAGCCGCGTCTCTGGGCTACCTGTTGATCCCACCGGCCAGTCTGCCTGCCTTGCCCTGCCGTGCCCTGCCGTGCCTAGTCGCGGCGGTCTTGGAACGCCTGCCGCGCCGCCGCTGTGCTGCGCCTGCCCTGAATGCGTACGAAGCCTACCCCACGCAGCGAGGGGGCGAGAAAGGACGCCCCCTTCCCTTCGATCCTGCTTCCATCGCCCGGATTTACTCTGTGGTTTTAAACGCGGTGAGAATCGTAGAGACAACTTTTAACTTGGTGTATAGAGTTTTTACTCTTATAAAGTTACAACACGTTAATTTTTCGAAGCATTCCATTTGATAAACTCGTCGTACCTTCATAAGTGAGTTGAGGTATGAAACTGTGAAGGACGTGCTCTCTCTCTCTCTCTCTCTCTCTCTCTCTCTCTCTCTCACTCTTTCGCGTGAGCCACATTCATCACAGCCCAAACAGTCGGAGTCTTTCCGGGGCACCAGTCACCACCTTTCTCCAGCCAGCCCAGCCCCAGCATCCCCAGCAGCTCCAATCCCATCATCCCATTCTGCCGCGCGCCTCTCGCTGCGCGCCATGCAACACCCCCCCCCTCCCCCTTCCCCCCACCACCCCGCCCCGCCGCTGGGCTGTTTTCCTTGTTTTCCCCTCCGCCGCATACATGCATACAGCCGGTGACAAGCGAAGCACAGCGAACAACAACACCAAAAACAACGGGAGGGGTCGGGCTGTGCGAATAAATATGGACAGGCCAGGCGCCGCCCCGCCCCGCCCCGCCCCGCCCCGCAGCCCATAGGAATAAGAATGAGTGTAGCCAGCACTGTTGTATTGATTTTCCACACGCGTTTAGGGCCTTCAGGGCCTTCAGGGCGGCCAGGTCGGCACGGCCGAATTCGCAAAGTGATTCCCTTGCTGCTGAGGTGCGTGCGCGGGTGCGTGTGTGTGTGCACCCACTCACTCACTGACAAGATCCGTTTCCCCCCCCTCTCTCTCTCTCTCTCTCTCGACAGGTGGCGCTTCCTTGCTTCCGGCCGACAAGGCTCAAGCAGCAGCGCACAGCGTCGTGCGGTCCGCACTCAGCCCCGCAGGCCCCGCAGGCCCCGCAGGCCGCAACAACTTGGGGTTGAGGGTCGCTTTGGCAAGCGAGCAATCAATCAATCTCCCCCTTCGGGCCTCTCACTCTTCCTTTCACTTTCCTTTCACCTCCATTCGTCTCGCCCTCTCTCTCTCTCCCCCTCTCACCGATAGACATGCCCACGCCTATTTCCATAGCGCTACAGGACACGGCGCTGCACCCCTAGTGGCGCCACCCGGCCGGGGACCAGGCGTCTCTCTCTCTCTTCCGCGGACCTCTCCACGCAGTGCAAGAGAGACAAGACACACTGTTAGGGGCCGGGGGCGAGAGCGAGAGAGAGGGACAACCCAGCGGCAAACTTTAATCCATCACATTGGAGTGTCTTGCTCAGCATCACTTGCCGCCATCCCAGCCCTCGGCGTGGCGAGCCGGGCGGACCCCACCCAGCCCCCCAGCCAGGGATTTGAATAATGGTTTACTGACTTCTCCGAGCCGAGGCGCGCCGTGGCGCGGGGGAAGGGGAAAGTGAAGGGGGTGCGCTTCTGCACATTACAGCCCCGCGTTGCCCAAATCCGTTTAATGGCTTGTACGGCATCCAGCAGGTGGTGCGGTCTCCGATCGACGCCGGGGCTCTCCCCCCCCCCTCCCCTCCCCCCCCTTTCCTCCCCCGCGGCGCGGGACCTTTCACCTGGAAAGCCGCCCCGGTGGGGCTGGCGGGCCATTCCGGCGCCCCAGCGCCACTCCGCGCCACTCCCCAACCCGGCCGGGGAATCGCATTAGTGCTGCACCGGGCTGCTATGGCTGCACTGCGGACGCGGACGCCAATCAGGGGCCATTCTCTGGGAAGCAAAGAGAAAGACTTTTGGCGAGCTGCAGTTCGGGGAGAGAAGCCCCCTAACCCCCACCTGCTATCTCTCTCTCTCTCTCTCTCTCTCTCTCTCTCTCTCTCTCTCTCTCTCTCTCTCTCTCTCCACACACACACACACTCACACGGGACCACTCACGCGGATGGGGATGGGAGGACAATGGGTCGCAGCATCTTCTTTCTTCATCTCGTCCCGAACATCCTGCTCCTGGCGGTGCGGCTCGCCCTCCGCGTCTTGTCCTCCGGGATAACTTCTTCCCACGAAACGCCTTACTGCCGCGGTGCCGCCGCTCCGCCGCGGACGCGGTGACCGTTACGGCGGGGGTGTGGAGGAGCGGAGGTGGTGGACACCCGTCTTCCCTTCGCCGGCCCGCTGCCGCCCCGCCGCCCTGCCGCCGTGTCCCCCTCCACCGCCGCGGCCTTGGGGGAGCCTTGTGCGGAATGAGTCCTAAAGTTGGGTCGACACAACAATGTCGCCGGCCGCGCACCCTCCGCAGCCCCGCGCAGCCCTGGCGCGGCGAGCTCGCGAGCGTGGGAGGCCAAACCAAAGGGTTGGCGTGTCCCTTCCCGCGCATGCCAGGCGGACCGCGGTGGCCGCCGGACACCCCGCGCGTCCTCGCCTTTCGATGCTGGAATCCGAAACCCGCCGAAACCTTCTCGCGATCGGGCCGTCGACGCCGTCCCACTTGGCCTCGTCTCCTTCATACTTCTCTCTCCCCGGGGGCGGCTTCGCCTCGCTTTGGCTTCGCTTTGCAAAAGTCTCAAGGTGAGTCATCGCGATGCTCGTTATTCCGACTTTCTGACGCTCTGTACACTCCGCGCCGGCGGGGCGGCCGGGCGGCGGGGCGGCGAGACGAGCCGAGGCCGCGCGTCGCCGATTCAGATTGCCCCGCACTGATTGGGCCCGTCCGTCCGTCCGCCCGTCCCGGCAGACAGATTTGTCCGCGGCTCTCGGCCGGCAGGGAAGGAGGCGGAGCGGAGGCTGGCCGACAGACAGAAGGACAGACTTGCGGGATCCTTTTGACAAAAGGTAGGTGCGGTCCACGGTGCGGTCGATGCACCAGATTCCAGGATTCCAGCGCCGCCCTTTACCCACCTTTGGAGGCAGCCCGAGCCTTGAGAGGGGCCGGCGGGCTGGAAGGCTGGAATTAGCACTCGTCTCGTCGACCCGAACCCCGACCCGTCATCCAGAAAGAGGCGCCCCTCGGGCCGTTCCCTTCCCTCCCCCGGGCGTCCCTCCATCCGCCGGCAGCCCAGCCCCCCTCCTCGCACCCTTTCGGGGAGCAGGTGCTGCTTGAGCTGCCAGGGGCCGGCGGGCGGAGGGGGCAGCAAAGGCCCGTGATTTTTCGCTCGCCGACAAGCGGCGCAGAGAAAGCGGGGGAAAAGGACCGCGAGAAAAACAATGGGGAGGGAGAAAGATGAAATGAGGAATCTGCCGCCCCCTCCATCCACTCCCCCGATCGACGGCCCCGCTTCGCCCGGTGCTCGCACACCCTACACTCGCAGTGTGGTGTGCAGCTTGCAGCGCTCAGGTGCGCCGGCAGGCCGGCAGGGTGACTCACAGTGTCACACACCTCTCCGCAACAAAAGCTTTCGCTTTTTGCCGCCCCTTTGGAAGCGCAGGCACAGCGGTGCGTCCGCGCGTCCGCACGGCCAGCATGGGAATTCGTGGAAGACGAATGCATGACGATTCGACGAGTGTGCCAGAGAAAACACGTGGCACTACACCCACCCTTGCGACCCTTGCGCGCAGCGCGCAGCTAAAGGAATTCCCGGACACGCATAAAGGGCGAACCGCCTGCACTGGGGCGGAGGAGAAGAGAGCATTTCTACAATTCCGAGAAAAACGACGACCAGAAAAAACTACTTCTGGCATCTCCCCCCTCCCCCCTCTCGCCCTTTTCACCGCCAACCCGCTCGGCCCGGCGCGCCTGCAAGCATGCTGCAAGCACTCTGTCAGCGGCGGCCAAGCCACGGTGCCCATGGCCTCCACGACGTCCACGCGGTCCAGGAGTCCCCAGGACGCCGAGCCGCCTTGCACAACGCCGCCACACTTTTGTCGATTCCTCGAATTGGAAGGGA